GATCACGCTGGAGGTTACTTCTGAATATTTTCAGTAAAAAGCTTGGCTGCACTTTGAATAATAATCACTTTGTTGCTTTGCATGTTTTTCACATGCAGTCTCTTCCTCAGCTGTTGACTAAAGTCTGATAAGTAATAAGTAACTGAAATAGTTACTATCACATTTAAATAAGGGAACGCTCATGAATAACACAAGTAAGACAGGAGGAGCTGCTGTCTGCTGACCCGGAGACCCGGTGACCTCAGGTGTGACAGAGCAGGTGACGGAACAATGTCCGTGAAAACAGAAGACGGAACATGCTGCGTGCTTTAAGGTCTCGTAGCAGAGAAAAAGTTGTGTGTCAAAGCCCATCCTGTATGTTCAGGTGTTCACACGGAGGCGCCAGGACACGTCTGCCGGACTTCAAACCATCTGACTAAAGGACGGAGAGTCTTTGTGCTTCCTCACATCACATCAGTTCGGTGTGAGGAAGAGAAGGTGAGACGCTGTGCAGAGAGCGCCCTCTGCTGAGCCACGTCTGGAACTACACCTCCATCAGTCTGCAGCTGGCTGGGCTGGAGCTCAACACACTCCAGGGCCCAGTTTTTCAAAAAATGTAATCTGGATCAAATTGATCCGGATTTGGAAATCCCATGTTTTGCTATCCAGGATCACCTGATCCATTTTACTGTTATGCCAGTTTTTTAAAGGAACATTGGATTGGATCACTATGATCCAAATACCAAATTTCCATCACATCCATCGTCAACCGCTTATCCTGCGTACAGGGTGGAGCCAATCCCAGCTGACATCAGGCGAAAGGCGGGGTCCACCCTGGACAGGGCCACACAGACACAAACAACCACTCACGCTCACAACTAAGGACAATTTAGGGTCACCAGTTAACCAATCAGCATGTCTTTGGACAGTGGGAGGAAGCTGGAGCACCCAGAGAGAACCCACGCAGAGAACATGCAAACTCCACACAGAAAGGGCGGGGCAACCGGGGTTTGAACCCACAACCTTGTTGCTGTGCGGCGACAGTGCTAACCACTGCACCACCGTCACCAACAGTGTGGCAAAGAACAAACAAAAACAGGTAGACAAAATATCGGTAAGAAGCAAACACTTTACTTTCCTTATTTTGTTATAATGTCAAATAAGAAAACAAAAACAATACTATCAATAGTCAAAAATCATTTACAGACAGATACCAGCTCTTTCCATCTGTGCCTGTAGGAGATGTATCTCCATCTGCACTTTTTTCTGCTGCAGTTGGGTAAACAAGATTTGTTCTTTACCCAGTTCAATTAGTATTTCTGCTCTTTCAGTTTCCCGTTTCAGAAGCAACTCATAGCTGTCACCATCCTGGTTTGTAGCTGAGGAACGTCTTGGACTGTCTTCATTACATCCACTGGGGATCTGTCTTCCTCCTCATTCACTGAAGTCAAGTCCAGGACAACATTTTTCTCCTCCTATGATATCACGGACCATATCAGTGAAATCATCCCTCGTTTGGGGGTAAAGTAAGTAAGGTCTTTCGTTGCCTTAGCCCTAAGGTTCTTCTCTTTTGGCCAGACCCCATGGCACTGACATGATTGGTTATGTCCTCCCAAATGTTGTGTTTTCCTTTTTTGGTCAGTTCTCCACCCTTTGCAGAGCTGAAACCTCCTACTATCGAGGCAAAATTGGCCCGAACACCCTCCAGTATTGCACAGGTTTCTGCCACAGTGAATTTAGACCCTTTTGATTCCAAGGTTCCAACCCTGCGGTGTCACCAACACCGATCTTAAAAGCCTTGAGCGTGATTGTTTTGGCTTGTGCTCAATTAGGCTTACGCCAATCAGCTCTTAATGGGTGACACCATTTAAACACGTCATGTCTTTGCACCCATTTCTCTTAGCCTACAGAGGCATCCACATGGCGGGTATTGTTCATCGTTACCGTAGGAGAAGGTACCGTCAAAGGGTGCACGCTGAGCGTGCCAAACCACCAGAGCAATACACATCAGAAGAACTGTACACGTTTTCGCTTTGGGAGAGATGACATTAAGTACATCGCAGATCTTGTCAGGCCAACACTCCAACACCGAGCCCAAAGGAGTCGTGCTTTATCCGTGGAGGAACAGCGCTTAATCGCTCTGCGCTTTTACACATGTGGGACTTTCTACCAAGTCATTGGTGACAATATGGCAATGTGGTGAAGGCTATGTCAGTAGCACTGGGCAGTCTGATCAATCAATTTGTTTCCTTTCCCAAGGATGGTCAGACAGCTCAGAGTAAGTTTTTTTTAAATGGGGAACATGCCTAGCACTATTAGTGCTATTGATTGTACTCACGTGCATATCCAAGCACCTTGTGAAAGAGAGTATGTCAATCGAAAGGGGAGGCACAGCATCAACATCCAACTTGTGGGCAACGCCGACCTCATGACAATTTTGATGGACCTGAGCCTGATGTAGAACCACAACAGCCGCCAATGTTCTTACCTAATGAAGGACACACTGGACATTAAAGATGCAATTGTGAGGAATTACTTTTAACTGGCTACTGAATTTGTTGTTGTCATTGCCATTAATATACTTTGGAATTATAGAACAGTGACGATTATTTGACAGCTGATAGCTTTGAGCTTTTAGATTTATTTGTTTTTGTTTACCATATCTCATTAGATGTGACATTTCTTCTAATATGAAGAAATGTATATATCATCAGTAAACATTGATTTTGTGATCATTCACTTCTTCAGGATTCATAATCCTGTTTTTTTGGATCAAATAGATCCCAAACCGAGTTCAGAGTTTTGAAAAACCCAAAGGGCAGGTTTTTCAAGGGCAGGACTGTCGGCGTGCAGGAGGAAGTTGGTAAAATAAAGCATACACCATCTGCATTTAAAACAAATGAATAGACTTACTTTGGGTTTTGTAACAACAGAGAAGGATGTGACACATGGGATTTGCAGGGAGTTATAAAAAGTACATTTACTCACGTACTGTACTTAAGTAGGCTACCACTTCCAGGTACTTGTGCTTTACCTGAGTATTTTCCATACTTCCATAGCAGCAGGCTATATAAAGTGATTAAAATTAGCTCCACCAACATTAAATAATTCTAATCAATAAGATATATTATATATAGATATAGATAAGTATATTAATCCCTGCGATGGACTGGCGACCTGTCCAGGGTGGACCCCGCCTTTCACCCAATGTCAGCTGGGATTGGCTCCAGCCGCCCGCGACCCTGTACGCAGGATAAGCGGCTCACGATGGATGAATGGAAGATATATAAGTATATGAGTCATTCTGCAGTATCAGTACTTGATACTTGAGTAACATTTGACAGCAGGACTTTTGTAATTCTACTCTGCGGTAATACGATTTTTTAAAGTTGTTGTCTCTGCTGACTGTAGATGTCAGACTCTTACTTGCTGTTATCTGCCAGTTACCTGCCAGTTATCTGCCAGTTATCTGCCAGTTACCTGCCAGTTATCTGCCAGTTACCTGCCAGTTATCTGCCAGTTATCTGCCAGTTACCTGCCAGTTATCTGCCAGTTACCTGCCAGTTATCTGCCAGTTACCTGCCAGTTATCTGCCAGTTACCTGCCAGTTACCTGCCAGTTATCTGCCAGTTATCTGCTAGTTATCTGCCAGTTACCTGCCAGTTATCTGCCAGTTACCTGCCAGTTATCTGCCAGTTATCTGCCAGTTATCTTCCAGTTATCTGCCAGTTACCTGCCAGTTATCTGCCAGTTATCTGCCAGTTACCTGCCAGTTATCTGCCAGTTATCTTCCAGTTATCTGCCAGTTACCTGCCAGTTATCTGCCAGTTATCTGCCAGTTATCTTCCAGTTATCTGCCAGTTACCTGCCAGTTATCTGCCAGTTACCTGCCAGTTATCTTCCAGTTACCTGCCAGTTATCTTCCAGTTATCTGCCAGTTATCTGCCAGTTATCTGCCAGTTATCTGCCAGTTACCTGCCAGTTATCTGCCAGTTATCTTCCAGTTACCTGCCAGTTACCTGCCAGTTATCTGCCAGTTATCTGCCAGTTACCTGCCAGTTATCTGCCAGTTATCTTCCAGTTATCTGCCAGTTACCTGCCAGTTATCTGCCAGTTACCTGCCAGTTATCTGCCAGTTACCTGCCAGTTACCTGCCAGTTACCTGCCAGTTATCTGCCAGTTATCTGCCAGTTACCTGCCAGTTATCTGCCAGTTACCTGCCAGTTACCTGCCAGTTACCTGCCAGTTATCTGCCAGTTACCTGCCAGTTATCTGCCAGTTACCTGCCAGTTATCTGCCAGTTATCTGCCAGTTACCTGCCAGTTATCTGCCAGTTATCTGCCAGTTACCTGCCAGTTATCTGCCAGTTACCTGCCAGTTATCTGCCAGTTATCTGCCAGTTATCTGCTACCGGCCTGTTACCTTCCAGTTGTCTGGCATGAAAATCGATCAGGAAATTATTTTCCTCCTGATGTGCTAACATTATGTAGCTTGCTAGCTTATGTTAGCATAACATCTGTTGTTTAAAGGACCTGCTCGTTATTCTCAATATAATTTGTCTTCAGTTTAAGAAGTGAGTGTATTAAATGTGAGTGAAGTTCAGAAGAGGTTGTTAACTGTGAGAGCTAGAGAGGAACATTTCAACACGTGGGGGCGTTTGTTTTATCCTCTTCCTGTCAGAGAGTCAGATGTTGAGACGGACATCAGTCTCATGTCAGTGTGTTAAAGCTGGAGTCAGGATGTAGTTAGCCTAGCTTAGCATAAAGACTGCAAGCAGGAAAAACAGGTATCCCAGAAATTGTTCCAGCACATAACTCTCCCTAAAACTGTAGTTTTTCCGTTTCCGTTTGTCTTTGTGTTGCTCAGCGAACTTTAGAGGTGTTGGTAGGTCTTTCTAGTCTTTCTGCTAAGCTAGCAGTAACCATGAGCTGTACTTTAACACACAGACATGTCCATCGTTTTATTTCCCACAACAGGTGCTCAGGGTGACTCTGTGTTTAAAGAGACAGACACACTGTAAATATACCGACAGACCAATCAAGCTGTGACTTTATTAAACCAACAGACAGTCCAGTCACGTGGTTCCTACATAATGTCTCTCCTGCTGTCTGGGAGCAGATCTGATAATGACACTGAGTCCTGTTCAGACATTGGTGCTTCCTGGTCGTGTGTGGACCAGAACCTGAATATTCAGACCCATAATTAGAAGCAGAGTCCACGCCCGGACGATCCTCCGATCAGAGAACCAATCCGATAGCAGACAGTCTTAGAAAATGCATAGAAGACAAAGATCCAGATGCCCTTAAAGAGAGCGCTGTGAGGGGCGGAGCTAGCAAGGGTGTGTGGGAGTTGTAGTGTGACTGCAGACAGATGATGTGATGGCCGGGTGAGGGGGTCACGACTCTGTGTGTGTGTGAGGCATCACACTCAAAGCGTCTTAACAGATAACATGATGTGTAGGGATCAAGGCCTTTATTATTGATTATTATCTGCTGATCGTTAAATGTCTCTGACAGCTGCAGATACTAAATCGGACACTTTATTTCTCACCAGGTGATTGATCCGGACCGCAGGCTGTAAATAAAGATGGACAACATGACCGCTCCCAGTCAAGCCTCAACATCTGGCTCGCCCCCTTGTGGCTGGTACCGGTCATAAACTCCTCCATGTTAGCAGATGGGTACTGCGTTCGCTCTACTGCGCCGCTGTCATGAAAAGAGAGCCTAGCTGGAAGGAAAGCTCTCGATCTACCGCTCAGTTTACGTTCCTCAACCTCACCTACGGTCATGAAGGCTGGCTCATGACCGAAAGAACTAGATCGAGGGTACAGGTGGCCGAAATGGGTTTCTCCTTTAGAGATAGGGTGGGAAGTGTGAGGAGCTCTGAGTAGAGCTGCTCCTCCTTTGTGTCGAAAGGAGCCAGTTGAGGTGGTTCAGGCATCTGGGGCCCCCTGGGCGCCTCCCCAGGAGGTGTTCCAGGCGCGCCCAGCTGGGAGGCGGCCGCGGGGAAGACCCAGGACTAGGTGGAGAGATTATATCTCCACACTGGCCTGGGAACACTTCGAGATCCCCCAGTCAGAGCTGGTTAATGTGGCTCGGGAAAGGGAGGTTTGGGGCTACCCAACCCCTGCTAAGCGGTTTAAGAACTTAAGAAGATGAACTTTGACTTTTGGTTTCAGACCGCGGGTGGGCTAAAAGTGGGACGCTGCTTCCTGAATGTTTTCTACTCTCAGAGAATCCGTGCGCTTTGCCAACCTCCGGCTACATCCACACCAGTAGACCGTTCACGTACACGGAGCATGTGTGTGCCGGTGTGAACAGGAAGCGGATTGTCTACTCTGCAGCTGCAGAAGAAAGTTCTACTGGAGACAAACGCAGAACAGCGATGGTGAAGAAGCACAGCTGAGATTTCTCTGCACGGAGCGACGGCGAGGTGGAACTGTGGCGGCGGGAAACAGGCTGCGAGTCGTCGCAAAGTAAATACGGAGACATGCACAAGTGTAGAAGTGATATTTACACAGTACAGAATACTTTAATAAAAACACCAAAACGAAAACTCTGTCAGCAGCATCGTGTTTCTGCTTTGCATGACTGATAAGAGCCAATCAGAGAGCTGAACGTGAGCGTCATCGTTTCCACCTGTCGGCACGAACACGCCGCCCCGGAGTTTAAAACCAAAACGGGGTCGGCAGCGTTTTCACACTTCAACGTTTCAGGTGTTCGGATTCGCTGTTTCAGTCTGGACGGGAGGCGGAAACGTAGCAGAAGGATGGAGCCTCGGTGTGTGAACACAGCAGAGCGGCGCTGGAACACCTGCAGGCCGCGGCGGCCAGGTACAGGTGAGCGTACAGAGTATTTTAGCTGATACTGATCCATTAAAATTTGCCCGTATCAGGACACCTCTGATTACACATTCATCAGTCTTTAATCAGGTGGAAAACATGAAAACAACAACATGGAAATATTCCTGCTGAAGAACAGACTGCTGGAAAACATTTCCTGTCGGCGTTTGAACTGATTAATCTGTCTGCCCGCTAATCGACAGAAAATGAGTCAGCAGCCGTTTTGATAACTGATTCATCGTTAGTCGTTCGCAGGACTTGATGCTTCTCTTGGTGACAACGACAGTGAGCTGGTTCTGGACAGCTGGTTGAATAAAACGAGCTGTGGGACACTGAACTGGGACGTGGTGGTGCATGATGGGACATGTGGAGGGCGAAAGGTCTTGGCGTTGTTTGACAAGACGTGGTAGGGTGTGAACAGGAAGTGTGTGTGTGTGTGGGGGGGGGTCTCTGCCTGCAGCCTCTGTGTCAGTTTGCAGGACGAAGGCTGAAATAAAACGAGGCACTTGTTTCGGTCCAGAGCTGCAGGTCGTCGGCCATGTTGGCCGCAGAGTCCTTGGCGATGCTGTGGTTACTGACGGCGGACAGGACCTCAGCTGGACCTGACCTGTGTGTGTGTGTGTGCGTGTGCGTATGGCTCTGTTACATCATCAGGGCAAAGGGTTTTTTTCTCTCTTTTTTTACAAGCAAGCAGGCAAATCAGATCATATTTAATCTCTAACAAGAATAATAATAACGTCATCGAGCCTTTACACATTCAGCTTATAAAAATAAAAAATCATTCCGGTGATATTCACATGCTCAGATTACACAGGATCACAGAACGTCTGGGAGGCGGCGGGGCTGAAAGGTTCTCATGTTGTTTGCATACGAGTTTAGAGTTAGAAAGATGAAGTTAAAAAGGAGAGGACCAGGACCTTATCAGTCACCCTGGCTACTGGTATCATGAAGCTGGTTAGCTTTCTCACCTCACCTGAAAGCGGTGGCGTTCTGCAGCCTGTGCAGCGCCACAGCTAGAAAATCATCAAATAAATCATCCAGCCAGGAGCAGCGTTCACTCTGCTGCCGCCCTGTGGAGCAGACAGACGGGAGCGTCTTAGCAAAACGTTTGGTTCTCACAGAGCTAGCTAACTGCTAACCTGCTAGCTCCCGCAGTTCCTCTGCGGTCACTCGACCTGACATTTGGTTCTTTAAATTTTGTTATTAAAGAGGCAAAATAAAGCAGCAGTAAAGAGAGATTCAGCTCTAATCACCCAACAAGAAACTACTGATATCCAAATATTTTTAGCGAGGCTACATATATGTTTGTTTTCACGTGGGCCCTTTCAAACTTGGGCAGTATGTGGATTATCCGTCCATAATCCCTATATTTTATTATGTGTTTGAATAAACGGTGACGGTCGGTCTATGTTTAATCATCTGACCTGGACGAGCAATCGATGCACTTTCAGGAATCATTTCTGGGTTAAAAGAAACTAAGTGAAGTTACGTATCTCAGATATAATTATTATGGAGTTAAAAGCTATAAAAAATATCTCTTGTTCTTTATTACTTTTGTCCCTGTGAGGACCCTGTTGGAGCGATGAGTCCACTGATCTGATTGGTCAGTAGTCGGCTTTTAAGAGGGTTTAAACTCGAAGTGAGAAGCACAAATCGATCATGTTTCAGAGGGCTGCCATGCGATTATAAAATGATTATCGATGCATCTTTTTCCTTTACAGTAGAATCACCGAGCATTTCATTGGACATTAAAGTCCAAAAGAAACGTCTCCTCATTATCCTAATAGGACTAGTTTGCGTCCTTACTTTACTAACCTCAGCTCTTCTTCTCCAGTCCGCAAACCTGCCTGCTCACCCACACCGTCGCTGCGCCCACGTCACACAAAGTTCTTTAAAAACCTAACTTACGCCGCTCTAACAAGACCTGTCAGGTACGAGGAAGCTGGCCTGTGCTTAGTAAAACATTGATTGTAATGTTTGGGTTAAATCTTAGCAAGGGGGGCGGTTAGTGCTCGAGACCGGTCTCTGAAGGTCTCGGTCTCGTCCCGGTATCGAGTGCATTAGCCACTTAGCTAGGAGAACAAGCTACCTAATTCCAGGGGTTCGTCAGGATAACATATTGAGGGAAGTAGCTAATGCAGTGTGAGAGACTGAGGGGAAATGTGGTGACAACTTGTTCCTAAGTTACATTTCTGCTTGAGATAAACTATAAGGAGACAGGCCACATAAAGCTATGTAGCTACTGTTTAAGCTACACGGCTCCTGAGAGCAAAGCTATGTGCCGAGGTAGCGCTCCCTCATTTGTTCTCATTATGTTAGCTGGATGTAGAATAAAGATGTTAAGTTGATTTCAGCTCTTAGTGCTTCGTTTGAGAAGCGCCTATGATCATGTTCCACATGTTATTGTGTGTCATGTAGTGCGGAACGCTGGTCCTGGTCTTTACTCGGTCTCGACTCGGTCGATTTGGACGGTCTCTACTATGACGTTGGTGCTTTGAATATTAGGGGAAGACGTCTATGATATGGGTTGGCGATGGCGTAGTGGATTAGACACATGCCTTTGGTGTGGGAGACCTGGGTTTGATTTCCACTGTGACATCCATCAATGTGTCCCTCAATACTGTATGGCTGCAGTGCCGGAGGCTGCTGTTTCAGGACCCTCGCAATCCTGGGACCGTAGTTCTTTTGTGACAGCGCCATCTAGAGGAGTGGTGGTGGTAATGCACAGCAACATTTATTATTATTTATTTATAAATAATATAAATAATCAATAACTTTTAGTTTAGGCACACACCCTGTGATGGTTAGGGTAATTGGCTTTGGGGGGCTGTCAATAATACACAGCTACCTAACTAGTTTGCTAACTAACTAGCTAGCTGTGTCAAGGTAAACAAGAGTCCTACAAATGCGGTTGCGGTCCTGAAACTGCAGCTTCCGGTACTGCAGCTGCATACAACTCGTGTCCCTGAGCAAGACACTTAACCCCTAGTTGCTCCAGAGGCGTGTGATGTCTGACTTATAAAGCAATTGTAAGTCACTTTGGATAAAAGCATCAGCTTAATATTATTATGCGCACGCTACAAACTGTCCGCTGCACTTCCAAGTTCCACTTTTTGCGTTCTGTCAACAGTACGTTACTAATTAAAATTTAGAAAATCGATTTATTTGACATCTGTGAATTGATTCAGAATTGTCCACGTTTGCATCTGGATGTATGTAAGAATCAATCCCCCTCAACCTCTAGTTTAAGCTGGTCCTCTGACGTTAACCCGCTCCGCCGAAGGTTAGCATCTGTTAAAGCATTCGTTAAAGTGCACCAGCGTCATGATACCAGAAAGCAGCTGGATAATCAGGATGCACTGACGGATGATGGCTACAATAAAAATAAAACTGTTGTTTAATTAGGCGGCTCTGTGTGCAGCTGTTGTGTCATTGACCAATCAGAGACCTCAAAACCCGCCCACCAGCCAATGAAAAACAAGTCCATGTCCGCTTGCTTCCTCTGATCAGAAACCAAATCGTCCACTGTGATCCAATCAGACACAGGAACAGGCGGGTCTTCTCTCAGCAGGCCAATCAAAGAAGCCCTTATAAGTAGCCAAAGAAGAAAAAAAGAGAATGTCTCGCTGTGGGCCAATCAGAGAGACAGTAGTTCCCGCCCCCTGAGCCGACTGCCAGTCAGAACCTGCGTCAGTTTCTGGGGACTCGGCTTCAGCCAGGGGCCCGGGGCCTTCCCCTGCTGCCACGGCGACTCGCCTCTCCTCCAATCGGAATCCTCCCTCCACCCGGCGGTGGCGATGCTGGCTGCTGAAAGGCTGACCTCGGAGAAGCTGGCTGCTGATTCGCTGTCGGACAGACGCTGGTCGTCTGAGGAGTGAGGCATGAGGAAGGAGAAGGCTGCCCTCTGAGGTACAGGCCAGCTCCCAGAATGCTTTGCGTGGCGGGTGGTGCTGTTGTCTCTCTCCTCTCCCCTCTCCTCCTCCTCCTCCTCCTCTTCTCTGCCGGCCTTTGTTGCCCTCCTCCTGCTCCTCTCCTCCACCTCCACCCTCTCCTCCGGCAGCCATGTGTCCCAGACTCGAGCACTTGTCCTGGGTAAGCTCCTGCTCTTCCTCCCCTGCTCCCGCTGGTCGTACCGCTTCTCCTTCTGCCTGACTGTCTGACTTTGTCTCCTCCTCTCCTCCTCTTGCCTCCTCTCCGCTTCCTCCTCCCTCCTCCTCTCCATCTCCCGTGCCTCCACCTCCACCCGGTCCAGGTCCAGATCAGGAGGCCCTAACCCTCCTCCTCCTCCTCCTCCTCCTGTTCTTCGTTTGGTTTCTCCCTCTCTCCTCATCCTCCTCTTCTCTCCTCCTCCTTCTCTTCCTCCTGTACCACCTCCTCCTCCCCTCTGCTGGCTGATGGAGGTGGTTGTCATGGTTACTGTGTCCACATCTTGCTCCTCGGTGTGTGAAGAGGAGGAGGGGGAGAGGGCTCCTTCCTCAGGGCCTGGAGACAAACAGAGAGAAATAAATAGAGTTAAGCTGCAGTTCCTCTCGTGGCCACCAGAGGACGCCGTGGTCAAACTCTTCTACAAACACAAGCAGATTCACTGAGCTTCTTCATGCAGACTTTCACAATAATCTGTTCCTCCGATGATATCTTACAGTTTAACGTGACAAAACTTTATAGAAAAGATGGAGGCCTCAGGGTTTAACACGCCGACCACCAACTGTCGATCGGGACCCGGGTTTGCCAAGTTACTCAGAAACTGTAATAAGTTACTGGTTACTTGGATTAGTAACTGCAATATTATTACCGTTTTGGAAATAGTAATCCCTAACACTACTAGTTACAGGGAAAATTATAATATTTCAGTAACACTGCCCAGTAGTGGTCGGGACCTTTGTGTCTCTGCCTCACGTCCCATCTCTTCTCTCCTGTCAGCTGTCTTGTATTTTGTTCATAACATGTTGATAACACATTTACCAGCCATATATTTACACAGCTAACACAACAGGACAAGTGTTTGCAATAGGGCTGTGTGATACTTCAGTGCATCCTTCAAAAATGTGTTAGTCTAATATTGAATGAGCTCGCACATTAATGGCAAAAGGTTTTATTATTCAAAACCAATGCATTCAAGTAAAAACACTGAAATCACCAGCGCCAGTAAAACCATTTCATCTGTCGCTGCATTAGCCCTGAGTTCTGTTGTAGCTGTTGTCGTCATGGCTTTGATTCTGCGTAGTTAGAACTGGATCTAGTTTCTGTGCTGGTACCTCGCCTGGTTCAGGTTAGCCATGGATAGCCGACTCCTGAAGCTTTCCATAGTCTTTATTTTCCGTGCGATGGTTAGCTCATGGTCACGGTGACCGATGTTTGACCTAGTTTGCAGATTGACTTCTGAAGCCAAACCACCTCCAAGTTTTAAGCAGGTGTTACACTTTCTGCGTCCGTGAATACACAAGGTACTGCTAGGGTCCCTGTGACAAAAGAAAAATGTCATCACACACATAGGTTTGGTGCAGGTTTGGTGTGTCCGCGTGCCTCCCAATTTTTATGACCGCCGACTAGGCTACCATGGCACCAAGTGATCTACTGCGCATGTGCGGAACGAGCCCGACTACACTACAAGAGCACCTACCCGTCTACTGCGCATGTGCGGAACGAGTTCGGCTACGCTACAAGGGCACCTACCCGTCTACTGCGCATGTGCGGAACGAGTCCGGCTACGCTACAAGGGCACCTACCCGTCTACTGCGCATGTGCGAAAGGAGTCCGACTACGTTACAAGGGCACCTACCCGTCTACTGCGCATGTGCGAAACGAGTTCGGCTACGCTACAAGGGCACCTACCCGTCTACTGCGCATGTGCGAAACGAGTTCGGCTACGCTACAAGGGCACCTACCCGTCTATTGCGCATGTGCGAAAGGAGTCCGACTACGTTACAAGGGCACCTACCCGTCTACTGCGCATGTGCGGAACGAGTCCGACTACGCTACAAGGGCACCTACCCGTCTACTGCGCATGTGCGAAACGAGTCCGACTACGCTACAAGGGCACCTACCCGTCTACTACGCATGTGCGAAAGGAGTCCGACTACGTTACAAGGGCACCTACCCGTCTACTGCGCATGTGCGAAAGGAGTCCGACTACGTTACAAGGGCACCTACCCGTCTACTGCGCATGTGCGAAAGGAGTCCGACTATGTTACAAGGGCACCTACCCGTCTACTACGCATGTGCGAAACGAGTCCGACTACGCTACAAGGGCACCTACCCGTCTACTACGCATGTGTGAAACGAGTCCGACTACGCTACAAGGGCACCTACCCGTCTACTGCGCATGTGCGGAACGAGTCCGACTACGCTACAAGGGCACCTACCCATCTACTGCGCATGTGTGAAACGAGTCCGACTACGCTACAAGGGCACCTACCCGTCTACTGCGCATGTGCGGAACGAGTCCGACTACGCTACAAGGGCACCTACCCGTCTACTGCGCATGTGCGAAACGAGTTCGGCTACGCTACAAGGGCACCTACCCGTCTACTGCGCATGTGCGAAACGAGTTCGGCTACGCTACAAGGGCACCTACCCGTCTACTGCGCATGTGCGGAACGAGTCCGCCAAGCTGACGCAAGTGGTGACGCATGGGTAGTAGAAGTATAACTGGTTGGGAAAAATGCTTTTTAAACCTTACTTTGGGGCAAAGGGGTGAAATTTTTTTATCAGATTTTATTGCTGATTCTATTCTATGTAGTTTTTATGTCCTGGTGACCAGTGAAAGTGCAGTTCTGGCTCTCTCCCCATTTATTCAGTTAGGAGCCTGGTCTTGTTAGTCCGAAATAGCTGCTCAGAGGCGTTGCTAAGAAGGCAGCTAAGTGTTTTTGATCACACACACAATATATAGTCCTCGACGACACATATCGCACACCCCTAGTTTATAATACAGTTAATACACATTAACACCTTATTAACATGTGATAATAACATGCCAATTACATGGAACAGTATAACATTTTACTTGTAAACGTGGCTAAAATGTTAACATTTACGTACCACTTATTTACATAATAATCTGTATATTTATACTTTTTTTTGTTTATACTATATTATTAATATGGTTTTACATTTTAACATGTTAATAACACAATTACCATGTCATTAATCAAAACTCAACACGTATTAACATTTTTAACATGTGAATAACGTGTTTACTAGTATTAACATATGTTAATAAAACATACTTATCTACTTTATGCTGACACGTAGAAAACATATCCACTGTTACTGAGATGTTAATACTGTATTAATGAGACAAACCTGCCATATTATCGACACAACACATCCACCATATTATTAATGTTTAAAATAAAATAACATAATAAAGTTATTATGTGAAGCTGCAACATGAATTCCATGTTAATATTTCATGTAACTGAGCTTTAATCATTTCGTTCATGTGAAAACAGAAGCTAGTGATGACGGCGGCTGAAGGTTGTTGATAAGGACGTTAAGATGGAGGGATGAGAGACGGCGAAAGGTGAAACAAAGGAAGTGAAAGGAGATGAGAGGAGGAGGAGTTACAAACCGCGAGTTCTCAGTGCGTCCAATCACGTAGAAGCAGGGCTCCCCCTGTTTAGAGTTGGTCATACAGAGAGAGAGGCTGGACAGCTCCACTGAGGAAGAGGAGGAGGACGAAGAGCAGAACAGGAAGGACAGGAGGAGGAAGAGAAAAAAAAAGTCAGAAGGTCAGAGAGCGGAAATCAGGAGAATCCCAGAGCTGTGATTGGACGAATTCAGGTTGTGAGAAGAGTGAACGATAGGTGAACAGTACATTTATTCAAGTCCTATACTTTAGTACAATTTTGAGGTACTTTTGATGTATTTCCATGTTCTGCTACTTTACACGTCGCCTGTACATCTCAGTGGTAATGTACTTTTTACTTCACTTGTCTGATGACTTTAGTTCCTTTGCAGATTCAGATCTATCACACAACATTATTATATCAATACCACTTTATAGATTCTCAGGGGGGAAATTCTCAACCTGCAGAAGTTAAAGTATATGAAGTAGTTAAAATGAAAATATATTATAAATGGCGACAAAGTCTGCGAAAGGAGGCAGGGTGAGTCAAACCCAGGACTTTCACACAGGAGAACAGAGTTCGAGTCCCATGTGAAACCAAGTAAATGTAGTTATTTTAAGTTTTAAAGGTTTTACTGGCATCTAGTGGTGAGGGTTGTGAATTGCAACCAGCAGCTCAGTCACCGCTCCCCCCTCCCTTTGCAAGGAGAAGCTTCGTGGCCAACACGCTCTGTCGGATCTGAGCTAAATAACACGTGTGATCCTCCATTTGTCCAAATTTCACTTCTCTTCTTACTTCTAATAAACCAGAAGACTACTGCTGCTACTGCTGCCTCTCACCAGATTTCAGATCGAGAACTGTCTTTGAGCTAGACTTCAGTGTCCTGTTTAAGGGGGTCACCAGGAGTCCCTTGTTGGGATCCTTTCCATGATGCTGTCAGACACCTGGTGTAACAGTCTGAGCCTGTCGCTGGCAACAAGAAGCTCTTTCTGTGGACGTCATTTTAATGAAAGAATATGCTGCAGCCGGTTCAGCTGCCGGCTTCTACTGCACAGCTTCCAAACTTTCTGTACCTACGAGTCATTTCATCACCAACATGTGGAAGCAAGTTTCATAATCCTGTAACGGTGTTTGAGTCTCACCGTAGTCCGGCACGTATCCGTTTCCTTTCTTGAGGACGAGGTGGATTCGGTGTCCTCCTCTCCTGATCTGCTCCACAGCCTGACTGTGAGTCATCCCTGATGTGCTGTCCCCGTTGATCTCCACCAGCTGGTCCGACACCTGAGAGACCAGGTACAACAGCGGGTCACATCACAGGCTGTCTACGGACAGAACCACCATGCGCACGCCACATGGACGGGTATTTAGAGAAGAATTCTGAAGGCTAGTTCTGATCGGTGAAGAAGTTTTACCCTTAGTCAGCACTTCTTTACTAGATCTGATCAATCTGTCTTTATCAACAGGCTATGTACCACAGTACTTTAAAGTAGCTGTAATTAAACCTCTTCTGAAAAAGCCCAACCAGGTGTTTTAGCCAACTATAGACCTATATCTAACCTTCCATTTCTCTCTCCAAAGAAGGTTAAAGTCAAGGGCAACTGGACTTGGTTGAAGATACTAGAAGACATTCTAATGTATGCGGTCCAATGCAGTGAGGAATGCACAGACCTGTATATTGGGGAGACTAAACACAAACGCATGGCTCAACACAGAAGGGCCAACTCCTCAGGTCAAGACTCTGCAGTCTACTTACATCTGAAGGACAGAGGACACTTGTTTGAGGACCAGAGATGTTCGAGAAGATGGATGGTTTGAAAGAGGTGTCAAGGAAGCATCTACACCAGGGTTGAGAAGCCGTCATTGAACAGAGGAGGGGGTCTACGCCACCACTTATCCCCCACTTACAATGCTGTCCTTTCATCACTTCCCAGGAAACTCAACAAGCATTTCCTCTGGCCCTCAGGTGAGGATACCAATGATGGTCGTTCAGTCTTGGCCTCAGGTAGTCCTAACGACTGTAACGACTGTCGTCACAGCAGCCAGGAGCACTAACGAACCAGCGGTGTCGACGATCCTGGCAAACAACCCCACTGAGGTTAAATAGCTGAGTTTCCCTACCAGTCAGTCAGAACTGAAGAAGTCCTTTGGATGAGGGACGAAACGTCTTCCAGTATCTTCAATCAAGTCCAGTTGCCCTTGATTTTAACCTTCGTTGGATAACTATGACCTGGATGACAGAGAATCTTCACAGGCATCTTCCATTTCTCTCTAAGGTTCTGGAGAAAGCAGTTGCTAAACAGCTGTGTGACTTTCTACAGAGCAATAGTTTATTTGAGGATTTTCAGTCAGGATTTAGAGTTCATCATAGCACAGAGACAGCACTGGTGAAAATTACTAATGACCTTCTCATTGCATCAGACAAAGGACTTGTCTCTGTACTGGTTTTACTAGATCTTAGTGCTGCATTTGATACCATTGACCATCAGATCCTATTGCAGAGACTGGAACATTTCATTGGCATTAAAAGAACCGCTCTAAGCTGGTTTAAGTCCTATTTATCAGATCGATTTCAATTTGTATATGTTAACGATGAGTCCTCCATGCATGCCAAAGTTACTCATGGAGTTCCTCAAGGATCTATCCTCGGACCAATCCTCTTCACTTTATATATGCTTCCTTTAGGCAACATTATCAGGAAATATTCCATAAGCTTTCATCGTTATGCAGATGATACTCTGTTATATCTATCGATCAAACCAGATGAAACAGTCTTCAACTTCAAATGTGCCTTCAGGATGTTAAAACCTGGATGACCTGTAATTTTGGCTTCCAGTAAAATCCAGAATAGAATTTAAAATCATTCTTCTTACCTATAAAGCTCTTAATGGTCAGGCACCATCTTATCTTAAAGAGCTCATAGTACCTTACTACCCCACCAGAGCACTGCGCTCCCAGAATGCAGGGTTACTTGTGGTTCCTAGAGTCTCCAAAAGTAGACTAGGAGCCAGAGTGTTCAGCTATCAAGCTCCTCTCCTGTGGAACCAGGTTCCAGTTTGGGTTCGGGACGGTTCAGACACCATCTCCACATTTAAGAGTAGGCTTAAGACTTTCCTCTTTGATAAAGCTTATAATTAGGGCTGGCTCAGGTAGTCCTGAACTATCCCTTAGTTATGCTGCTATAGGCCTAGACTGCCGGGGGATTTCCCATGATGCACTGAGCTCCTCTCTCCTCACTTTCTCTCCCTCTGTATGCAACCTCATCCCATTATTGCATGTTACTAACACAACTTCTCCCCTTTCTGGTAGTCTTGTGCTTTCTCGTCTCTCTCCTCTCTCCTCCTATCACTTCCTGCAGGTTTTCTGGCTCTGGAGCTGTGGAGTCTGGATCTGTGGTTGCGGGTCACCTGCTGCCCCCGTGTTCCTGCTCGACACCCTCTGCTGCAACGACTATTGTTACTAGTCCTATTGTTATTATTGTTATTATAATCATTAACATTACGATTGTTATCATTATCACTACTATAAATATCTGTACCATTTTTCATTTAGTCTATAGCAACATCACCTTTACTGTCTGTACCTCTGTGTGGATATTGTGTAGGCTGAATTTAATCGGTTCATCCTCTGAGGATCATCTGCAGCAGGCTTCATGCAGGTCTGAACCAGCTGAGAAGAGGTCTCCCAGAGTCCAGACCCCAAACTGTTCAACACGTCAGAGACAACGTGCTGCACGACTCCTTCACAGTAAAAGCTGAGCTGGCTCTGGCTTTTACTGTGAAAGAGCCGCAGGAAGTCTGTGTGTGTACCTGTATCTTGTTGCTGCGCTGGGCCGGCCCCCCCTCCATCAGTCCCAGGACATACAGCCCCATGTTGTACTCGCTGCCCCCCCTCAGAGAGAAACCGAAACCTGTGGGACCTCGTTCCAGATCTACAGTGTAGAACCTGGACTCGTCCTGACAGACAGAAGGACAGGAAGTACTGCAAGTAAATACTACAAAGTAGTGACGTTGTGAAAACAAAGTGTCTGAGAGCTTCTGGTCCTCAGACCTCTGATCTGCTGAAACCTTTAACTTCATCAGTTTGACCATTTTGCAGTATTTAAAGTTGCATTTGTACCATTTTGTCTCAAAATATTACAACAAAAAACCCACGAGGCTTTCTCTAAATATTTAGAAGAGTTTTTCCCTCCACAGTATCTCTGATACTCGCTAACTGCACGTAAACCTGCAGTAACTGTACTGCAAGTATTACAGTGACTCGCAATACTGTTACTGCTGCTACACTTCATGTTGAACACAGACCAGACTCTTATACTTGTTAAATAACGTCTGATACTACTGCTATGGTGTGTACTGGTACTCCAGCTGTAAGACTGTGAGGAGCCAGACTGACCTTTGACCTCCTTCTGGATCCTTTGATCATCCGACCGTCAATGTCCAGGTCTGCTCCTTCTGACAGAGGAGACGAGTCTGAGGAGAGGAGAGGTGAGGAAACAAGGTGAGGAGACAAGGGGACAAGGAGAGGAGAGGAGACAAGGGGACAACGAGAGGTGAGGAGATGAAGGAAGGGGACAAGGGGAGGAGAGGTGAGGAGATAATGGGAGGAGACAAGGGGACAAGGAGAGGGGAGGAGACAAGGGGACAAGGAGAGGAGAGGTAATGAGATGAAGGGAGGAGACAAGGAGAGGAGACGAGCAGATGAGGACAGGAAGAGAAGAGGAAAGGAGACGAGGAGAGGAGACAATCCCTTCATCAGATTTACATGTTCATATCCATATTGTGAGTAAAGAAGTGTGTACATCAGTGTGTATATTTGTGCGTGCGTACGGTGTCGCGGCGTGATGCTCAGCCTCAGCGTGTTCCCGGCCCTCCTCAGGATCTGGGCGAGGTCCCGGTGCTGCAGACCTCCGACCGCTCGGCCCTCCACCGCCTCCAGCTGGTCTCCGGGCTGAATCTGCCCGCTGCGAGCCGCCGGGCTGCCGCGACGCACCGTCACGAACCGGTGAGACATCAGGGAGGTGGCTGCGGGGGGGGGGGCACATGGTCAGAGGGTTCCTTCCTTTTAGTGATGTCACCATGTTCGCTGCCATTAACTGCGTCATTATTATTAATACTGCCCCCCCCACCACAGCTGTGTAATAATAAATGAATGTTGAAGTTTAATAATTGAGTCTGTTCAGTCTGCATGGCTGAAGCGACAGCTGCTGCAGGAGAGAGAGACCAGAGGGAACTGATTCACAGCACGCAACCTCTGTTTGAGTTTACCCGGCGGTGGCGGCCTCTGATTGGCTGGTACTTGTTGGTTAGGTAGAGGCAGAGTGGTTGAAAATCTGATGGGAAAACAACACACCTCTGACTCTGGAGGTCGCAGTTCATTTCCATCTTTCTCAGACCTTCACCAAGATGTGTTGTGTCTAAACCCGACCAAACCTTAACCACGAGGTTCAGATCGACGCTGTCTGAAACCTAAATATGTAGGAACAGACGATAAATGTTGTAACTGTGCAGCGTCAAACCCAAAATGAATCAGTAAAAACTCCTCAACCATTTGGCCCAGATGCAAAATTCTGGTCTCCTCTGAAAGGTCAGAAGCTAAGAAACACAAATCAACCTATTTATTTTTCTATTAAAGTGTAAAGATGCAATAAAGGACAATATGATATTTTCATCCTCGCATGGTATAAAATCTATATTTTAATAGCAATATCACCATTAAAACCGTCATCCAACTCATTATAATGCAACAGAACATCTTCTAATACACCTGGAATACACCTGTAACTGTAAATCTGATGAAAAGAAACTGATTTACAGTTATTACACAAGTTATTACACATGTTTGTAAAAATATACCAGGCGAATGGAGTTTTAGGTGAACTGAGACTCAGAGAGAGCTTAGAGGGATTATGCAATATCCAAAATGGCAGCCGGAATTATTTTTGTCAACAACTGAGCTGTTTTTGCTGTTTCTGGAGTGAAAACAGCAAAAGTAAGTCAGCGGTTGTAACTGTAAATGTGTGTCGGTGTGTTTGTTGTTATTATAATCCGGCTAATAATTCAGACCAAACGCGAATTTAATCCAAGCAACGCTTTCCTTTTTTTTTTATCGCTGGACAGCTGCTGAGCGTTCACACACAACGATAACACGAATAAACCCAACCCGCCATTACTCCAGCTGTATGAACCCAAAGTAAACATGTTGCTGGGATTAAACAGCAATAAATGGATCAAACTGATGCTGAAATAACGACAACATGATGCTGTTTTATTGAACATATGAAGTGATGCTTTGTCAGGTCTGTCAGCAGGACAGCGGCTTCTAAAATGTTTGTTTTCTGAATGGAGTTTGGTTCGATCAGGGCTATGCTATGCTAACAGTACAACGACAGCTGGAATAAAGTTACAGACACATGTTTTCTGAACTCACCAGGTAGTTCAACCTCCTCGCTTTCTTTTCTCCCACTAATGTCCAGCTTTGTCCAGTTATATATAAATATGAAGTAGCAGTCCAGCAGAGCTAACGACGCTAACAACAACAGTGGAACCGGATGTGCACGGAAGCTGCTGAGAAGCTCCAGTGAAGATAAATCAAGTTGTAAAAAGCTAATTTAATAAAAGCAGTTAACTCCGAGCTCCTCCGGCGGGTAAACGGCGTAGCTGTCAGAGCAGAATCCAGACCGATTACGGGGGTTTATCTGTCTGAAAGCTGCGGCGCTGCTCCCGGCTCTGTCCTTGACTTCTCCTCACAGTTTAGCAGCTCTCCGCTGGCCAGCAGATTTTCAATCTCCCGCTCTGCCTGGTGCTCTCCACACAACGCTCTGAAGCCGTCGGTGACGTACGGACAATCTCAACGCTGATAGGTTATCGCGACTCAGCATCGTGCGAATTCCTTCGCTTCGCCCGACAGGAAATCGCGGCTCTACGCGTCTTTGCATTGACTTTGTCTGTAAACTCACCGCCCCGAACGCTCGCTTCGCTTTTGGTCTGAAAGCACCGTTAGACTGGTCGGACTGCGGTGTGGGATGAGATGAGAGATATCTGGAAGGCTGCAGCCATGCACAGTGATCACAGAGCGATTTATGTTGTTATAGAAGTTCATTTAGATGCTTGGTGTTTGATGTGTGTTTGGTGTGGATAATAATTATCGGTTTGAGCTTCTAGCTGAGCCTCCTAGCTTCACGGAGGTGTGTAGCGTGGATAGGATGACCAAATACTACGATCGTCCATGAATTCCTCTTTGGCATTTTGAGTGAAAATCGATCTACCCACCCTGTACAGGGCAGGTCAGGGCTTAACGGGGGTTGACGTGGTCTAAAACCTTTAAATATGTTGGAGCGGAGGATAAATGTTGTGACTGTGCAGCGTTTAAGAGCAGAAAACTGCAGTAAAGATGTTTTTTCTTCCCCCTGCTTTCTGCTGTTCAACTGTTAATGTTGATAAGAAACCGCAGCGGCGATGGAACAAACATCTCAGCAGCTCACCACCAGATTTACTTTTTATTTGTTTTACCTCGATAGCTGCAGCACTCTGTGTGTGTGAGTGGGTAGATAAGTGACCAGCACGTTGTGGTACTTTGTGTACTTTTGTACTACTATGTATTCTTTTGCATCTCTGACTCCATGTTTGAAAGATAAAGCAGTTTTTGGACGCCACATGTGAAGGATGTGGTCGCGCTGATCAGAAAAACGTCTGCGAGTTGTTTTTCAAGGCTCAGCTCAGCTCGCTCTGAACACAGAGGAAAACAACTTCTGTGGGAGTCGGCTGACAGACTGCCAAGTTCATTGCACAACACACCTGATCCTGAATCAGTCCAAAGCAGGGTGGACGCCTCAGAGAAGGAGGAGGGGGAGCAATTCTCAAAGATTTTCTGGCTCAGAGACACTGAATCACAGGACAAAGAAAAAAACTTCTCCTGCTGAGCACAGATCATATGAGCAGCAGACGGACCGACCTGAACCACGAGGCCGTGACCTGCTGCCCAGTTTCATGTCAGGAAGTCAAACAGTAGCAGAGATAAAACATGAAGTGACTGAAGGACGGCGAGCAGACTGAGAGGGGAAGATCAACACATCGGACACTAAACACTGACGACAGGTGCAGGTACCAACAGGCAGATACCTGAACAATGACTGTGCCAGATCATCGCTCTTTATAGAACTCAAACCAAAGAAATGAAACCCCTCAGTTAGAACATCGCTTTAAAAAGACACAGGTTCTGTGTGTAACGAGGTTTTACAGTTACAGATCAGCAGCTCATCCATCATGAACCAACAGGACAATCAGCTGTTAGTTAGACGGCGTGACCTGCAACACCTCCGCCTCTGTACGTTCATTTTCAGAAAACTGAACTGAAACTAGAGGCTGTTTGGAAGGAAGAAGGAACTCTCAACACCTGGGAAGCAGGAATGAGCTGGTTCAGATCAGAATATTATTAAAGAGGTCATATTCTGCTATTTGTCCTTTCCCCTTTCCTTTCTTGTGTTATTAATCTTTTCTGTGCATGTACCAGCTTCACAAAGTGAAAAAGCCCAAAGGGAGTTCCCATCTCCCACAGAAAACTCAAAACATTAGTCCAGTCTTTGCTTCTGTAACCTCTCTGCGAGTATCAGGTTTCTGCAGGTTGATTTCCATAAAAATGAACTGAAACCATTTTCAGCCTGGATGTAAAAACAGGAGCATGTTTTAGCTTTTCTTGGTCAGCTGGGAGACTTTGTGCTGCTGCTGACTGCAGAGACACAGTGTGAGACTTAGCTGAGCAAACACACCGGACTGGACTCAGCTGGACTGTAACGTAAACAGGATTCATGCAGAATGAAACAGGAATAAGCAACAGCGTGGTCCTTCAAAGTGACTTTAAAGGACCTTTAAAATGTCCCACAGTCTGAAGTCTGTGTGTTTAAGCTGAGCACACAGAGCAGGAGGATGAGCTGATAAGCAAAGTGCTGAGTTCAACATGTCGGGAGTCTGTGGAGGAGGACACATGAAGCTGCAGAGAGAAAAATAAACCTTAGTGAAGGAGAGGAAGCAGCAGGAGGAGGTGGATGTTATCCAGGCAGACTTCTGAGAGTTCAGAGAGGAAACACCGACTGGAACACAGCTCCGGATTCTGTTCTTCAGCGCGGTGTGTTCGCTGCTGTTGTGACTTCAGCACGGTGTGTTAGCTGTCTCTTGTGAGTTCAGTGCAGTGTGTTCGCCATGTCTTGTTAGTTCAGCGGGGTGTGTTCGCTTCCTGTTGTGACTTCAGCGCGGTGTGTTAGCTGTCTCTTGTGAGTTCAGTGCAGTGTGTTCGCTGCTGTTGTGACTTCAGCGCGGTGTGTTCGCTCTCTCTTGTGAGTTCAGCGCGGTGTGTTAGCTGTCTCTTGTGAGTTCAGCGCAGTGTGTTCGCGCTCTCTTGTGAGTTCAGCGTGGTGTGTTCGCTCTCTCTTGTGAGTTCAGCGCAGTGTGTTCGCGCTCTCTTGTGAGTTCAGCGCAGTGTGTTCGCGCTCTCTTGTGAGTTCAGCGTGGTGTGTTCGCTCTCTCTTGTGAGTTCAGCGCAGTGTGTTCGCGCTCTCTTGTGAGTTCAGCGCAGTGTGTTCGCGCTCTCGTGAGTTCAGCGCGGTGTGTTAGCTGTCTCTTGTGACTTCAGCGCAGTGTGTTCGCTCTCTCTTGTGAGTTCAGCGCAGTGTGTTCGCTACCTGTTTTGAGTTCAGCGGGGTGTGTTAGCTGTCTCTTGTGAGTTCAGTGCGGTGTGTTCGCTGCTGTTGTGACTTCAGCGCGGTGTGTTCGCTCTCTCTTGTGACTTCAGCACGGTGTGTTCGCTGCTGTTGTGAGTTCAGCGCGGTGTGTTCGCTGCTGTTGTGAGTTCAGCGCGGTGTGTTCGCTACTGTTGTGAGTTCAGCGCGGTGTGTTCGCTGCTGTTGTGAGTTCAGCGCGGTGTGTTTGCTGCTGTTGTGAGTTCAGCGCGGTCTCTTGTTAGTTCAGTGTGGTGTGTTCGCTTCCTGTTGTGACTTCAGTGGGGTGTGTTCGCTTCCTGTTGTGACTTCAGTGCGGTGTGTTCGCTGCTGTTGTGACTTCAGCGCAGTGTGTTAGCTGTCTCTTGTGACTTCAGCGCGGTGTGTTCGCTGTCTCTTGTGAGTTCAGCGCGGTGTGTTCGCTGTCTCTTGTGAGTTCAGCGCAGTGTGTTCGCTGCTGTTGTGACTTCAGCACGGTGTGTTAGCTGTCTCTTGTGAGTTCAGCGCGGTGTGTTCGCTGTCTCTTGTGAGTTCAGCGCGGTGTGTTCGCTGTCTCTTGTGAGTTCAGCGCAGTGTGTTCGCCATGTCTTGTTAGTTCAGCGGGGTGTGTTCGCTTCCTGTTGTGACTTCAGTGCGGTGTGTTCGCTGTCTCTTGTGAGTTCAGCGCAGTGTGTTCGCTGTCTCTTGTGAGTTCAGCGCAGTGTGTTCGCTGTCTCTTGTGAGTTCAGCGCGGTGTGTTCGCTGTCTCTTGTGAGTTCAGCGTGGTGTGTTCGCTGCTGTTGTGACTTCAGCGCGGTGTGTTAGCTGCTGTTGTGACTTTAGCGCGGTGTGTTCACTGCTGTTGTGAGTTCAGCGCAGTGTGTTCGCTGTCTCTTGTGAGTTCAGCGCAATGTGTTTGCTGTCTCTTGTGAATTCAGCGCGGTGTGTTCGCTGTCTCTTGTGAATTCAGCGCGGTGTGTTCGCTCTCTCTTGTGAGTTCAGCGCGGTGTGTTCGCTGTCTGTTGTTAGTTCAGCGTGGTGTGTTCGCTGCCTGTTGTGAGTTCAGTGCGGTGTGTTCGCTGTCTCTTGTGAGTTCTGCACGGTGTATTCACTGCTGTTGTGACTTCAGTGCGGTGTGTTCGTTGTCTCTTGTTAGTTCAGCGCGGTGTGTTCGTTGTCTCTTGTGAGTTCAGCGCGGTGTGTTCGCTGTCTGTTGTTAGTTCAGCGTGGTGTGTTCGCTGCCTGTTGTGAGTTCAGCGTGGTGTGTTCGCTGTCTGTTGTGACTTCAGCGCGGTGTGTTCGCTGTCTGTTGTGAGTTCAGCGCGGTGTGTTCGCTGTCTGTTGTGACTTCAGCGCGGTGTGTTCGCTGTCTGTTGTGACTTCAGCGCGGTGTGTTCGCTGTCTGTCTGAGGTCAGTTTTCTGCAGCTCTCTCTGAGTCATGTTCCAGCCTCTTTGACTCCAGATCTGCTGCTGATATAAAATATTAACCTGTTGCGGTAAAATTCAGCTCGAGGGCTTCTCAGAATGTGTCTCTCCTCTTCCCATCATCATCATCATCATCACACATGTCCGGAGCTGCAGATGCCACACAAACAGATAAAACTTTCCCTTTAACATTTGATCTAGCAGCTGGACTGAAGGAGAGCTCCGTTCACCAGCAGAGAGATTTACGTCTAATTTCACCACCGCATGCTCTGATGAAATATGAATTAAAGAGACTATTTTTAGAAAGTTTCACATTTCCTGTCCATCTGAAACTGCACAGCTCATGACTCAAACACACACTGATGGAACCTGAGGGGTCGGGGTTTCCTCATCTGACCAGCAGGAGCCCTGAACGACATGCTGCCAGTAGCTGAACTCTTTCTCCCTGTGTGACGTTCAGACGTTTCGGCTCCTGCAGGTTTGTTTTCCAGTTAATCAGCCCGATGACGACAGACAGACCTGTTCACCTGTTCACCTGATTACCCGAGTGAGTAACTCTTCATCTTTTTTCCCCACAAGCCGAAACCAGCATGACAAAGTGTACAGCTCGTTTCTCCAAATATCCATCACATCATCCTAAAAGCACAAAGAAACATACGAAATGTTTTGACTCAGTTTAGTTTCACAGAGGAGGTTCGAAATATTCAGATCGTTTACTCACTGCAGGTGAAACTTGTAATACCACGATACTAAAATACATATGTATAAAAGTCCTGCAATTAAAAAATGTAAAAGTAAAAGTACAGAAAGACTATCAGTAAAATGTGAAAGTACTGCAGAGAAGCCCTGTTTTATATTTATTACTGATTTATCAGAGCAGAAAAACTATCTTCATCACAGGAGATCTTCTCATTCATCAAGGAAAGTAAAAGTACCTCAACATCACACTTAAGTACAGTGAATGTATTTAGTTACTTTCAACCACTTATTTATTGTTGATCAAAATAGCTTTAGGAGAAAATTATTTTCCTGTCTGTCAACAAATCTCTGTGCTGATTCTGGACCAACGACGGTGAACTTCCTGTTCGGTCCAACTGCTCGTTTAGTTTTTGGTCGATTGCTCGTGTTTTTTACGATGAAGTCACAGCTGGAGGCCGGCGGCACATCTGGACACGAACAGACAGCAGCTCCATCAGCTCGGGGCGGTTTTACAGGGCCGTGTCACCGAGGCTTATTGTTACATAACGCACGCACGCACGCACGCACGCACACATGCCGTTATTTCCAATATGACAACAAATAAAATGTTTTTCATTTCGAGTCCACGCTGAATCCTGCAGCGAGCTTCCAGGTTGTGTGTCAGTGTTTCCTCTGTGACTGAGGACGATCCTGCAGGAACCCAAAAATAGAACAGTGACACACACACATGCACGCTCACTCAGTGTGCTGAATCTGCCAAATGTGAGATTCCTCAGACTCTCTGTCAGTCGGTTCGTCTGCATCATGTCAGCATCTGTTATTGATCGCTTGTTGTTCATCTCCACGTCGTGTTCTAAAACCGGAACCTGTTCTATTCTGATAACCGGCGGCCTGTTTGTCCGGCGACAGTTCCAGTAAAGTTCTGCGTCCTCAGCGTCTCTGTGTGAAACTCTATGAAGGGAAAAGAAGATCTGATCTGTTCACAGTGGTGGTTAGTGCTGTGCACCTTCACTGGTCTCATCATTCGATTGAGATTATCCTGTCAACGATTCGATTCCATATCTCCATGCATCACCTCTAGTGGCTGGAGTTTCTAGGCACCTCACTATGTTTATGAGGCTACCATGTGATTGTAAAACGATAAAGGTGTGTTTTTCTCACTGTGTGTGACTAAAGCAAAGTATCTGTAACAATCCAAACACGTAGGTAGTAATGAAATGCAGCTATTTAATGTTACTCTATATAAATGTAGCTAACGTCACGTAGCATTATTACAGCATCATTACTCATTGGGTTCGTTGTGTCCTCGATATGTGGATGAATGACAACAAACCAACTTTACAGCAGCCAGATAACGTCCCGCTGTGACCTGCACTGTACATTTACTGCCAGACTGAAACGTGGCGCTCATGTTTTCCTCTGCTCGCTGCTTTCACCGTCACTTTCTGCCGCCTTGTGAGGGACCAGGCAGTTAGGCATGAGGAGTGAAATTCCAAGAGGGAAATTCAAAGAAGAAGGGTTTTTATTTACCAAAAAATCATTACAATAAAAGAGAAAGTTTCAGGCCCATAAAAGGTCAAATAAACAAACGGTAACTAAGCTCTGAACATAAGAGACTCAAAAATACAACTGACCTCCTACACAAGAATGAATGGGACTTATATATTGGCTGATCAGACCAGTTTTGACACACAGGGGAAGACTAACAACAACAACAACACTGCTACATAACTACAAACAACAAAACCTACCTAAAACCTTATTCCAAAAGAAATGTACTTTTACTTAACCTTAGCTCAAAATACTCAAATATAATATAAATCTAAACCCCAAAATATCTGAGAGAATAAAGCCACCCCCCAGACATAGCAAGCAGTGGTAGTGTCCAATTAGGCCACCTCCCCTATAAAGCTGCTCCTGCTCCAAGCGCCAACCCTTTAAGCCAGCAGACTTCCTGGATCTCTCCCGGGTGTGGCATCCAACACTGGCAAGCTCAGAAACAAAACTATAACAAAATGACAATCCAAAAGTAACTAATGGTGCGCACTCCCAAAAAGATGCTTCTGTATAGTCAACTAAATAATGGTGCCAACCATAATGCCGCACTGCACCCTGTGCGGGTGAAAATCATTAACGTTAGTTGCACATTGATTTTATTCAGCTGTCTGTGCCGAACAGGTAGAACCACACGTCTCCGACGGTCCAGAGCTGCACTTCCATTTCCGCCTTCTCCGTTCCGTCAACATTACGTTACCAGTTAACCTCTAGATAATCAATTATTGACATTTGTGAGTCGATTCAGAATCGTCCAAGTCTGCATCGCGATGCATCTAAAAATCCGTTATTTTCCACACCCCTAGTTGTAACACTACTGCAAAAAAATACTTTAAACTACTTTAAAGTAATACTACTTATAATAACTGACCCGCAGCACTGAAATTACAGAACTTTCTGTTGAATTCTAGTGGAGACCTGAGAGGTTCATCACGTTCACTCGGCAGACGTGTCACCATCAGGAGCAGTTCAGGGTGCCGACACACGAATCCATCGTCACTGAGCTGCAGCCCCCAAAACACAGAAGAGACAACATGAACTGAGTGGCCCAACCAACCCTGGATGCGTCTACATGTGGTCCGGGCTGTGCCGGGGAAGATGTTCCTCATAGTTTTTGATGCCTACTCAAAGTGGACACCACCCGTCCCCCGATGGCTGTGCTGAGCGAGCTGTCCGAGTGTTCGAGGAGGGCATGAAGAAGATGGGGGAGGGCGGGGTGGAGACGAAGCTTCCCAGGTTCCTGTTCAAATGCCGCTCAACCCCCCCAGACCACAACTGGAGCCACACCGGCGGAGCTTCTCATGAACAGGAGGATCGGGACACAGTTGGACTTGGTGTGTCCGTCACTAGCAGGCCAGGTTGGACCGAACCAAGCGAAACAAACAGAGCAGCACGACAAGCACGCCCGCCCGGAACCGGATTCTCAAAGAGTCTGACTCGGTCTACGTCAGAGGGTCAAAAGTGGATTCCAGTAACAGGTCCTGTCTCTTGGAAAGTAGAAACACAAGACCATGTTACAACCAGAACCTGCCTGAATCCAGTTCACAAGAGGAGAACTTCCTCACTACAAGAACCAGTGAACCCTGCGCTGGAGGTTCCAGCCACAGAGACCGCCCACAGAACAGGATCCTGAAATGCAGCGCAGCTATCCCTTACGAGTTAGGAGGGCGCTCACTTACTTGATGGAGTATGTTCAGCCAGGGGCAGAATAATCCCCTTGGGTGGCTTGAGGAGGGGCAGTCTACCCCCTACCCCGTCGCTTAGGTTTAGTCAACCGCTTATCCAGCGTACAGGGGGGGGCTGGAGCCAATCCCAGCTGACACTGAGCAAAAGGCGGGGTCCACCCTGGACAGGTCGCCAGTCCATCGCAGGGCCACACAGAGACAAACAACCACTCACACCTAAGGACAATTTTTAGAGACACCAATCAACCTAGCCTGCATGTCTTTGGACGTTGGGAGGAAGCCGGAGCACCCGGAGAGAACCCACGCAGACACGGGGAGAACATGCAAACTCCACACAGAAACCGGGGTTTGAACCCGCGCCTTCTTGTTGTGAGGCGACAGTGTAACCACTGCACATTTCTGGACTATGGGGGGAGGAATGTTGCTTTCAGGTGTGTTCAGTTGGCCTGCTAGCTGAGACGTAACTGCATGTTGGAAGCTGCAATAACTTGAACACAGAAATCCTTTGTATGACTTACTCACTTTAACTTGTCTGCGAAAACAGCATCACTGCTAAATTATTAGGGATGAATGAGTGTCTGTATCTAGCCGTGTTTCTTTATGCACATTTTGAAGTGTCGCATCAGAAAAGGCTGATGGATCCTTTTTCACGCTCGCTCGAGGTGGTGTTTGCCTTTGGCGAAAAAGAATAACTGCCCTGAATCGGAGATGCAAACACTTTTGTCGAATAAGTTCTGACGTAGAGAACTTGTAACTCACGACTGCTCAGCTGTTTCCGCTGTCGGCGTCTTGCCGAGACATGGCCGGTAAACACATTCCTGTGGACCTCTCTCCATTTTTCTCAGATCCATACGCTCGCCGTCGCCTGCATTTTTTTTTTTCGACATTTTAAAAGTCTGCTTAAAAATCCGTGTGACAATTAGATGGAAACATGGCTTCTGTTAGTCCTGGAGAATCTGAACCAGGAGCCAGAGGGATCTGAACCTGCAGGTGCTGTCTGATTCTGGACTGGTTTAGTAGTCTAGTCTAGTACTTCAGAATCAGGTTTTCACACACAAGGAGTTTCACGTTGGTGCATGAAAATATTAAGAAAGATAAAGTTCTGCGAGTCAGTGTGAAACAATATGTACAAGATGTGCAAAAGTTCACAGTATTAAGTGAAGACAAAGTGTGGGTCTGAACACAGTTTGGACAAACAGAGTTGTAAAGACGGAAACAGGGCGGAGACACAACGGCAGCTGAACTGGGGTCAGATTCAGTTTGAGACTAAACGTGTGAGAGCTGCAACAATCAGAGGAAACACGACAAGAGATTTATCCTGTGTGAACAAACCAACAATAAAAGTCTCTGCCTGCACAGACGTTAATGATCAAATCGAGGTTTTCTTCAAGAAGCCTCATCAAGTCCAGCTGGCCTTGATTTGAACCGACAGCTGTGACTGTTTCAGCTCTCATACACGTCACATCGAGACATCAGATAGCTGGTTATTTTTCCATATTTGATATATATTCTGTAGTTTTGTTTTATTTAACCTGTTGGTAGCGCGGCTAGCGAAATCACTGACTGAAAAAAAATAAATTCCACTGTTTTTAGTCCAAAATCCGCCTGTTTTGTTGCTCCGAGTCTCAGCGGGCGCCATCACTGCGTTCTCAATCTACAGGCCTGTAAAGCGTGGCTGTGACAGGAATGTTGATTCACTGTTTTTATCAATATTTCACTGTTTTGTTTTTTGGAACTTGGTTGTCTGGACAGAAAAAGTGTTTTAAAGATATCTACCAATAAAAGTCAACACTTAAACAGTGAATATGGCCAAAACATGGACATTCACCTGCTGTATTTTGAAAATGTTGTATGATAACTGTTTATTTTCATCAGATTTACAGTTACAGTTATATTCCAGGTGCATTATAATCTACCTTATGATGGTTTTGATGGTTTATTGCATTAAAATAAAGCTTTTTTTTAGCAGGCAAGGATGAAAATATAATTTTTTCTGTATTGAATCTCCATGTGGTCTGTAATAGTAAAATAAATATATTAATGTACAATGGATTTCTATTCCTCAGCTTCTGACCTTTCAAAGGAGACCAGAATGATTCATCCAGGCCTGATGGTTGAGGAGATGTTACTGATTTATTGTGAGTTTGTTATTTTAGGCGTTTTTCCTGGAAAAACAGGCTTTCAATCAGTTTCCTTTACAGGAGAGTTTAACATCATTTTGTTAAACTTTTCTCGGCACAGACTTTAAACTCCGCCTTCAAAGGTCCGTCACGGTGACTCTGAGTGGCTGGACGAGCACTTCAGGTCCCCCGATAAGAAACGTTCACTCTCCTGTGATGGAGCTGCAGGGACTTTCAGAGGGTGAGATTAACAAAGACGTTTCAGAAACTCCAGCGAGGAGAAACTTTCTGCGGGAAGCTTTTCTTTGGATGCAACGTTAAAACTCTCATGACGTTAAACAAGATCACGTCTTTACTCAGAGATTCGTTTCATCAGTTAAACTGCAGTAAATGTAAATCCACTGAGAACCACTCGGTCAGAACTGCAGATCAGTTCGAGGTGAAACTATTTGAGAAATTCCTGAGAGCTGATAACTGAGGAGGAGGAGGAGGAGGAGGAGGAGGAGGAAATGGAAGAAGTAGTAAAAGTACTAATACTGCTATCTGACCTTAGTAAAAGTACAGACTGAATCACTGATGCTGTGGCCATAAAGGTGGATCTTCTTTGAATGACTTTATAAACTGCAGGGAGTTTAATCTTTCTAATAAGACATCACACGTTTTTAGAATCTGAATCTGCAGAGTAACAAACAAACGGCTCTGAGCAGAAGGAGGAAGCCTGTCACTGATCTGAGAGCAGTTTGAGCGGAAAAGATTTGATTGATTTACCCTCTTTGTTTCCACACACACGTTTCTGGCTTTTAGTCACTTTGCTGTAGTTTTTAATATAATTCAGCCCCATGCTTTTCCACCTCAGCGTGTCTCCAGGTGTCTCCAGGTGTCTCCAGGTGTGTCTCCAGGAGACTCCAGGAGAGGTGTTTTAAAACGTAAACGCAGAAGTAGATGGGGCCTCAGTGGCGTCTGATAAACGTCCTCACGTGATGTCACTTGAGTCGGCGTGGGCTGAAGACTACAAGTCTGAAACAAACCCGTTGGCGTGGAGTTGTCTCCGCTGCGGGCTACGTTAGCCACTCCTAGCATAAAATCCCCCGTTCTACCGCCCAGCTGTCAGAGGGACAATTGCATTGTGGGTAACGTAGAGTCCTCCGGTCTCTCTTGGCCGGCCTGTTCACCTGTGACTCGCAGGCTCACCTGAGAACCATCCAGCAGCCCCGCAGTATACAAACGCCACCCGTCCCTCGCTCTGCGGCCACCTTCAGACTCTCCACCCGCTGAAGTGCTCGCCGCCTCAGCTTTTTGGTGCGAGGTCTCAGTTTGTCCCAGTGAGTCCAGACCAGCGCTGCCTGCCCGCTCACGACAGTTCCCAGTTCTCACCACTGCACGTTCTTTTGAAGCGCTTAATAAATCCTCTGTGATTTTCCTGCCGCCTCTCCGCCTGAGGACACCCCGACACCCGTCTGTCCCAGCGCCCGCAGGTGTCTGCTCGTCTTCTGTATTTGCTCCGCCGCCACCTCGTGCCCGTTAAGATCACAGTCACGCGGAGGTTTATCAGACGTCGGGGACGCACCTGATTAACGAGGACGTCTCGTCTCTGCACACAAATACAAACTGTCTGTGGATCCTCTGAGTTTGTGTTGGAACAAATGGATTCTGATGTTGGCGGCAGGAGCGTGACGCTGAATCAGCGGAGCTGTTAAAGCTCTTAAAGATCCCCGCGGAGTTGGTTTCTCACTAAAGTGCACAGTGTGAATCCTGCAGCTCTGACAAACGTGTTAAATGTTTTTTCTTCTTGCAAAGTCGCTTTAAAATGCTGCCTTCTTTCCAAGAACGCTGACCGTCTCCTTCACTGGCTGTGTTAGTGTGTTAGTGCTTTGGCAGCCACGCATAATATTATTACTCTCCTCAGTAACTAGTAGTGTCAGGGATTACTATTCCCAAAAACAAGAATATTATAGATACTAATCCAACGCACCTGAACGCACCGTGCTTGGCGTGAATGCGTGACTAAGCAGCAAGTCAGCGGCACGGTATGTTTTTTTCAAACTCTGAATACTCTGCTTTTATACATTTGCAGAAAAATAGTAGTTTAAAAGTCGGGATTTATGTGCTTTATTTTTTTATCTCAGCCTGCGGCGTTAAGAAACTCCCTGCTGCTGTTATGAATATGATAGTAGGTAAAAAGTTGGGAGAGACTTGCTTTGTTAATTAGTGTAGATCCACAGTCTAACTTTTAATACCCAGTAATACGAAAAGTAATATTCTTACTTTTTTAAGGAGTAAACAGTAAAAAGTAATGTTTTACAGTTTCTGAGTAACTTGCTCAACACTGTGAGTCACCGCTGCACAGAGCGCCTTTAACTGAACCAGGCGCCGCATGTAAAACTCCCGACCTCAGCATTTCCACAGTTCAGTCCTGACAGTGAACGCATCAGCATCCCAAATCTTTAGGAATATACAAACCGAGTGGTGCAGCTTTCCATCAGCGTACACAGTACTTCAATTATACCTCAGTACAACACACACACACACACACACACACACACACACACACACACACACAATAACACACACTGAGAGACTTACGTTTGGAGTCCTTCACAGTTTTCAGAGCTGACTGCAGTCGCTCCAACATGATGAACAGAGCAGAGACACAAAACACAACACTACACCTGGACCTGTCTGTCCGTCCACCTGTCTCTCTCTCTCTCTCTCTCTTTGTCTCTCTGTCTCTCTCTCTCTCTGTGTCTCTCTGTCTCTCTCTCTCTCTGTGTCTCTCTGTCTCTCTCTCTCTCTCTCTCTCTCTCTTTGTCTCTGTGTCTCTCTCTCTGTGTCTCTCTCTCTCTCTCTCTCTGTGTCTCTGTCTCTCTCTCTCTCTGTGTCTCTCTGTCTCTCTCTCTCTCTCTCTCTCTCTCTCTGTGTCTCTGTGTCTCTCTCTCTCTCTGTGTCTCTCTGTCTCTCTCTCTGTCTCTCTCTCTGTCTCTCTCTCTGTCTCTCTCTGTGTCTCTCTCTCTCTCTCTCTCTGTGAGGCAGGTCGTGCTTCTGGAAGCGGACGAGCAAGACTGAGTATGAGCTGGAGGGCGAGAGCGAGACAGCTGGGAGAGAGAGGGGGGCGTGGCCAGCAGATAGCGGTGGGAGGGAAGTGAAACTAACACACACACAGGAATGTTACTGTGAACGTTCTCAGAGGACAGACGGCGATGCGTTCGAGTGCTCGTTGTTGTTCCTTCCAGCTGTTCGCTGGAACAAACAGAAGCTCAGGTGCTGAGACTCACTGGAACATTTACAGCCACTGCGGTGAACTGCAGTGGCTGTCAGCGCCCACTGGAGGCTGCTGGCTTCATTATAGCCACATTATCCACAAACAAGATATAAATTACGATACAGTGATGCAGATTAAACTAAGGAGTAAAAATGAACTTCAAACAGCTGCAGCAGTAAAATGCAACATTAACAGCAGGAATATTATTCCAGGAGCATCAGGTATAACAGAGAAACACTCACAGGAACATTTTACTGCATTATGACTACTTTTCCATTCATACTTTGGTAGTTTTCCCCATGTTTCTGGGTCTATGTGACTGATTGAGACGACACTTTTTGAAAGCTGTCCAGTACGAAGACTCCACAGAATGAAACGGATGAAGGGAAATTGTATTTGGTGTGGGAGTGCAGGATGGAAGTGGGAACTTTCCCACATTGTAAAACGTAAAGTGTCCCTACAGAGAGAGACCTTTTTTAAAGCGTAAGATCCTTTTCGTTAAACCAGAAACAGTCTCTATATCGCTCTCATCAGAGCCACCAGACTCTGCTGATAAAAACAGTCATTTTACCTCACAGAACACGGGAGAGGCTGATCTACCGGTAATTTGTGTGACTTTGGTGTTTTTGTTTGTTTTAAAGGGTTAAAAACACCAAAGGCACAAAATACCAAACTAACCAATCAAAGCAGCAGAGAGGTAAAAGTACTCTTTTTATGTATGATAAGATCCATGTCGTGTTTAACTTTGCCAGTTGCATATATCAACTTCATAAGCAAGGCTGTTCCCAGACGCCTGCGGAATCGTCTCCACCTGTCCAGGTTTGTGCAGGACGAGTTCAAGGCCTCACACGCTCCCCATCACACTACAAACTCTAGGAAAGGAAGGTAATGGAAGCACAACAACAAAACACACCGGGGTATAAACCCTGCTGGGGTCAGTGCAGCTTACTCTGGCGTCTCCGATATCTCTCACCTTTAATTTATGTTGGGAATCACACAAATAAGACGCTCCTTATAACTCCGGACGTCGCCTCGTAACCGCCAGGCTGAGACAAAACGCAGCAAAACGCTTACTTAAACGGAAACGGTGGTGCCTCAAACACCCCGTTGTCTGCCTTTTTAACACCGCTGTGTCTACAAACATGGTGGCTGCTGATTGGGCCACCAAACAGGAGAAAACAAACCTCGGAGCCCGTTGCACAGCGTAGGACACCGTTTCAAGGAAACACGTTCAATCAGAAAACGTACAGGATGAATCAGGGGCGTTTTCAGGCTCTGGAAACCTTGGGGGCTTAGCCCAGACCAGAAATATTTACCCCCCCGCCTCCTCATACCCAAAGTAAGTCTGTAAAGCAACAGTAAATGACTTCTACTTATCTCAACCCACAACTAAACTCACAGCAACTCTATCAACTGTCTCATTTTCTGTTGATAGCTTGTTATACCAAGTGTCTAACTGAACCATCGCCTCCCGTTTCCCTCTTTTTCCCTCCTGTAAGCCACTGAGCTACATTTTTGACAAAGCCACAAATCACGTCCCGAGCTGGCAGCTGTGTGGGCAGATCTATGAATAGTGAATGTGGTAAACTCAGCTCAGCGCAGAGTGTGCAAATGGAAAGTAATAAGCGTCCTCTCAAAACTTTTTTCCCAACATACACGCAACAGTTTTCAGACACAAGGTTTCACACCTGGAAAACAAACTAATGCACTGGGAGAATCCTGACAAATCTGACACAGTTGTGAAGAAGTTCAAGGTTTTAAACACTGAGTTTCAACCTTTCACAACTTTATTTTTCAGTTTCCAAACATGTCGTGATATTCATCCCATAAAAACGGTTGCAAAATGTTTTGAGATTGAACTCGCCATCATGAACCCGTGAGGTCCGAATCAGATGCATTAGTATTAGTATACGACAGTCAGTTACAGTCGAGGGGTTAAAGAGATTCACCAGGACTCACCCCCACCGCTCACTTCCTGAGACGCAATGACAAATCCAAAGCCTTCTCCCGGCCGCCTCCTCAGCTCCACCTCCGCTGTCTTTGCTCCTCCTCTTCCGTCCTTGGCCACTGCTCCCAGCTCTGCTCCCCCTCTGACGGGAGGAGGCCCACCGGCGCTCTCCTCCACTCCCAGCAAATCACGTGGCTCTAAGGTCAGCGTCACAGGAACTGAGTCCAGGAAGCTGGTGCTCTGGATGAGGACTGAGGGCCCGTTAGGCGTCTGGGCAGGAGGGGCCCCTGGAAAACAAGGAGGAGTCAGACTGATCGAGGCAGGATGACGAGGATACAGACTCAGAGTGCAGTTACCTTGGTGGGTCCCTGGGGCTGGTAGGTGTCCCTCCTGGGGACTCTCCAGGGCCAAGCCGGCCTGGTTGAGTGGGGGGACGCCCCCCACCAAGGCACCCGTGGACGGGGAAGGCAAGTTGGCTAAGGTCGAGGGTTGAGAGGAAGAGGGGGTGGCCAAGCTGTGTGGGGAGGGGAGGGGCTTGTAGAGGTTGGGGGTGACGACTGGGGAGGAGACGGGACCTGGGGGGGACGGGGGGGGGTGGAGTTAGTCATTGTTTTTATTGGTTCCCTGTAATCGAACTTTGTTAAACACGAGTCAGTGGATTAGAGTTAATCTTAATGTACCTCCTCTGTAGACCAGCAGCACCACCTCCCCCTGTTTGGTGTGTTCCTGCAGGACTCTCTGGACCTGAGGAAAGAAATGCACCAATACGTATTAGTTTCAATAAGTTTCAATGGAAACTTATAAAGTCACCTGTTTCCTAAATCCTGTTTCGGGATGCTCCTCCAGGACCAGCTCAGGCTCAGGAGCCAGTTCAGGAAAAGATACCTCAAACCTTCTGTTCACACAAACGGACTCAAACACTGGCGGCATGAGAATATGACATTCACTGCGCACCACCCACCACAGCTCAACACTCAAATGGCACCCGGCGGTGCAACCCAGAGAAGTAGGTGCCCTGTCCTCTGTTTTCCATTACAGATGTAGCAGCTCCTCACTGTGGCGTCACAGTGCTGCCACACGCGAGACTGCTCCTGCTAGAAACCTGCTGAGCAACAATGAGCAGCTAAACTGAGCTAACGATAGCAGGACCAGCTGCACCCCGGCTGCTAACTGGGTCATTTCCAACCCGGATTTGTTGTGGATTCTCTCTGAGCAATCAGGAGCGTGCATTGCTTTCACGCCCCCCTTTGGTATCGCCTCCGGTCTCTTGGAACCTCGAAGGAGGTGATACCAGGTACCAGGTAAAAGTTTCTGATTTGCCCAATGGAAAACCAAAAAAGGCGAATGCAGACGAGTCGAGTTGAGCAGGTACCGTCGGGTGGAAAACGGCCTTATGACAGAACTTTAAATAAAGTACCTGGACATGAAGAAAAAAAAACCAATGCATGAAAAAGCATTCCTCGCTTAAACCCGCGGCACCTAAAACTAATTTGCACCTGTTCACGTCCACTTTTATTTATACAATTGCACCACCACTAAAAGTTGCTTCCCGTTCAGCATGTGTCTCGTTGTCACGTCTGTTTTGGGGGTCAACTCCCACAAAAACAGACCTACATGAAACTAGTCTTTGTGGCTCAAGGTCTCAGTATGCTTAGACAAAGTGCTTGTTGGATCACCAAACGGTGTTTCTAAAAAACACCTTTCATGTTGTGGAATCGGCCGACGCTGTCTGTCCATTTCTAACTCTCTGAAACTGACAGTTCAACGATCAACAACTGCTTCATGAATTCCCTCAAGGAGCGACTGGGAAAATGCGCTCAGTTTTCCACATTTGTAAGATTCATGGCGTCGAGACTTTAAGATGCAGACTTGTTACAGAGATCAGGGAGGCAGTGGGATGCAGCCAGGAGGCTTAACACCCCGCCTACCTGTGTGGACATTCACATCGGACAGAACCGCGGCAGACTGCAGGCGTGGTCGGACCACACGGAAACATCCTGGAGCCTTCAGAGGGACATCATGCCGATCGCCCCATAAGTCTTTCGAAACTCTCTGAGTCCGTCCAGAAACAATAAGCACCTCTTTGAATGAGAGTGAAGGAGACTACCTTGACCCTGACTGGGTGGATGTTGGATGAGTGATAATCTGGTACCTGGGAGAAGCTGAGGCTTTGCACGTCTGCTCCGTTGATCTTCACTATGGCGTCCCCCGGCTGCAGCGAGGGGCAGTGCCTGCGATCCCAGACCCGCCTCACCACCGCCAGCTGATCTCCTTGCCCACCTGCCGTCACGCTGAATCCAAGCCCCCCACTCTCACTGCGCCCGAGGGCCACGGGCACAAGCTCCCCAGCGGGAGCTGACCCCGGCGACCCTGCCCCGAGGGGGAGAACCAGCCCTGGGTTTCCTCGTGAGGCTGGGGAGGGCGCTTGGTGATTGGCTGGACAGCCGTTAAAGCCACAAGGTGGGACGTCTCTGGGTGGGGTCAGGGCGAGGGAAGTCTGTGGCATCAGCGGGCGCTGCGCAGGAGCCCCAGGAGGCGTGGAGGAGGAGGAGGTGGGGTTGTTAGCGGTGGTAGGGCTGGTGGAGTTCTGGAGGAGGCCCGTCTCTGGCTGAGAGAGGGGCAGTTTGGACAGAGTGTGGGAGGACGAGGAGGCGATGGGTAACGTGGCGGAGGAGATGGGGAGGGCCGACGTAGACAGGTCGCTCTCTGAAGACTTGGAGCTCTGATGGTGGAGGAGGGAGGAGGAGGAGAGGGCGGGGAGAGTGCTGCTGTTGTAGCGAATCAGAGAAGATCTACGAGGAGGAGGAGGAGGAGGAGCAGAAAACTCATGTTTTATATAGATTTTTTTTATTTCAATTGGATCAGTCATAGTACTTCTGTAAATTACTACTAATACTACTACTAATATTTGTACCTTGGCAACAACTCCTCTTCCTGGGATACATATGAAAATGTAAAACATAGCTAACAAATCTCAAATGTGCCTCCCTACAATCCGAACAGAGAAAAGCAGCGGACCAAGACGAGTTCCCTGGGGGACACCACGATCTACAGAAAAACAGCCGTGCTGATAGGATACCACTTCTCCTACTGTTGCTAACACCGCTAATGCTAACCCGGAAGCTCCTCTCACCTTCGTGTTCCAGCGCTGGACAGGCCGCCATCAGAGTCACTGTGATTGGCTGCTGTCCTCTCTGGAAGGGGTGGTGGACCCAGTGGGGGGTCAGAGGAAGTGGGCGTCGGCGGGCCTGCCAGCCCGTTCGTCATTGGCGGAGCAGCATAGGAGGGCGGGTTGTGGCCCAGTCCTGGATTTCAGAGTGAAGGCGTTAACTGGTTAATGATTACCAGAGTCAATTTAAAAATAGATAGAAAGATGATAGGTGGATGGATAGACAGATCAATAAAGTTTACGTTAAAATAGATTATAAAATGTGTTTAAATATTTGTGGACATTTAACAAAGCTGGTATCTGTCTCATTCAACACGACCGGAGGTTTCACGGATAAACCTGAATAATGAGAGCTGATTGACTGGATATGAATTTAAAAACAAACAGCCTGTCTGGAGGGTTTTGGTTCGGTACCAGCAGCTGCTCTGAAATTTGACTTTATCGGTTTATGTGAGTGTGAGCTCACTGTGTCCTCAGCTTTTCTAACTTTAGTGCACTACATCTGTGAGTTTCTGGCTAATATGGACAGGTCATCTTTCAGACCTGGCGGGCAGCCTTCGGCGTCCGGCGTTCGGCTGTAGGTGAGGTGTGTCAGGCCACGGTTTGCGTTCACGGGGTTGGAGGGCTCGCTGGGAGTCTGTGGCTGTTTAGGGGTTCAAAGTCAAATACAAGGTTAGGGATTTATTCAAGGTCACATGCAGAAGAATAAGAACAAAAGTTGTAATGATCTATATACCGTACCGTCTCCAGGCTCTGTTTGGGACACCCATCAGGGTTGTAGAGCATCGGGTATCCTCTCCTCAGCACCACGTCCACACTCTGACCCATTGGCACTGACTTCAGCATCTCCACCACCTCTTTATGAGAGCGACCCAGTACACAGCTGTCATTGATGTAGACCAGGATGTCCGCTGGAGGAGCACAGAACAGGAGACAGTCAGTCTACTGGAGGTACATCATCATAGTTCACCAGGACAAGATGGAACTGGAGGTCACAATCAAACTGCAGTAACGCGCTGTTCTACCGGACGATGGTGTGTTAAAGGACTCAACGTACACCTTAAAAGTTGTTTTGTGTTCCAACGCTCAGCAACAGTTGGACCAAAGAATGACACTGCAGACAGAACCGAGTGAAATTAGTTTACTTCGTCTGAGAACCTCCGGGTCTGCAGTGAAGCCTTAAACCTGCATCCTCTCCACCGGCTGCAGAAAGAAGTGTGATTGTATAGAAGTCTCTGAGAAAATGTAGCTACTTGTCTGCTGATTTATTACCTCAGTAAACTTTATGTGTGTTAGTGTTGTATGGATGCTTCGTGAACAACCCTTGGCGTCATTTTTTAATGCCCTGGGTACCCTTTAGCGTAGTTTCTGCACATGTAGGGCTCCGTGGCCAAGTTAGCAAGAATAAATATGCAACGTCCGGATAGACTTTCAAAATAAAGTTAACGTTGTGAAATATTGCAATTTGGTCAGGTTTAGGCACCAAAACCACTTGGTCAGGGTTAAACACCAAAACCACTTGGTCAGGGTTAAACACCAAAACCACTTGGTCAGGTTTAGACACCAAAACCACTTGGTCAGGTTTATGCACCAAAACCACTTGGTTAGGTTTAGGCACCAAAACCACTTGGTCAGGTTTAGACACCAAAACCACTTGGTCAGGTTTAGGCACCAAAACCACTTGGTCAGGTTTAGGCACCAAAACCACTTGGTCAGGTTTAAACACCAAAAGCGCTTGGTCAGGTTTAGACACCAAAACCACTTGGTCAGGTTTATACACCAAAACCACTTGGTTAGGTTTAGGCACCAAAACCACTTGGTCAGGTTTAGACACCAAAACCACTTGGTCAGGTTTAGGCACCAAAACCACTTGGTCAGGTTTATGCACCAAAACCATTTGGTCAGGTTTAGGCACCAAAACCACTTGGTCAGGTTTATGCACCAAAACCATTTGGTCAGGTTTAGGCACCAAAACCACTTGGTCAGGTTTATGCACCAAAACCACTTGGTTAGGTTTAGGCACCAAAACCACTTGGTCAGGTTTAGGCACCAAAACCACTTGGTCAGGTTTAGGCACCAAAACCACTTGGTCAGGTTTAGGCACCAAAACCACTTGGTCAGGTTTAGGCACCAAAACCAATTGGTCAGGTTTATGCACCAAAACCACTTGGTCAGGTTTATGCACCAAAACCAATTGGTCAGGTTTATACACCAAAACCACTCGGTCAGGTTTATGCACCAAAACCACTTGGTCAGGTTTAGACACCAAAACCACTTGGTCAGGTTTAGGCACCAAAACCACTTGGTCAGGTTTAGGCACCAAAACCAATTGGTCAGGTTTATGCACCAAAACCACTCGGTCAGGTTTATACACCAAAACCACTCGGTCAGGTTTATGCACCAAAACCACTTGGTCAGGTTTAGACACCAAAACCACTTGGTCAGGTTTAGACACCAAAACCACTCGGTCAGGTTTATGCACCAAAACCACTTGGTCAGGTTTATGCACCAAAACCACTCGGTCAGGTTTATGCACCAAAACCAATTGGTCAGGTTTATGCACCAAAACCACTCGGTCAGGTTTATACACCAAAACCACTCGGTCAGGTTTATGCACCAAAACCACTTGGTCAGGTTTATGCACCAAAACCACTTGGTCAGGTTTAGACACCAAAACCACTTGGTCAGGTTTAGGCACCAAAACCACTTGGTCAGGTTTAGGCACCAAAACCAATTGGTCAGGTTTATGCACCAAAACCACTCGGTCAGGTTTATACACCAAAACCACTCGGTCAGGTTTATGCACCAAAACCACTTGGTCAGGTTTAGACACCAAAACCACTTGGTCAGGTTTAGACACCAAAACCACTTGGTCAGGTTTAGACACCAAAACCACTTGGTCAGGTTTAGATATCAAAACATTACTACTTACTGTGTTACTTACGTTACATAACAAAAAAGAATCAATGTTGACTTTTTGTTTCACACAGGAAACAAACGCCGGTCTCCTGGGTGAAAGTCCAGTTTTTGACCCACACATCCACCCAAACCACCTCTTTACTCTGACTTGTCTGTTCTTTATACTAGGCCTACTTTTAGCGTTCAGAAACGATACTAAAGGGTTTCCCAATATCTTACAAACTGACACCAAGGGGTCTTGACCAAGCGTCCATATGTGACGACTTGACTTGCTCAGAAACTACAGCTGTAAGAGACTATATTTTCTGCTACTACCATAGTACTATAATAATAGGAAAATTTTAATTTTATTTTTCATTACTCCATTTGCTGTGTGTTGTTGAGTTTCTGGGGATTGTTTTACGTTTTAAAGTTTTTCCTCAGACTTGTTTCTGCTGTCGGTCGCTGAAACTCCCCGCTCGCTTTCCCAGGAGATTTCATGAACCGTGTGTTTGTTACATTCCTGACTATTTATCCTCAGAGCACGTGAGCGGATCTGACGGTGGGAGAGAAAGGAGGCTGTGTGTGTCGGACAGATTAAAGAGTGTGTGTGTGGATTAGTTGTAGATCATGAGATTGTGTCCCTGAGAAAAATAAAGACCTGAGAACATAATCCTCCAGAGAAAGAGAGAGAGTGTTTGAACGTCTGTTTTATAACATCTAAATATATCCTGATCTCTCCAGCCTGTGTTTATAATATTGAGAGTTATTACAGCAGAACAGAGCTTTTCCTCAGCAGACATTCCTGACCTGTCAAACGCAGGTGGAACTAATAATGTTGGTCATTAGTTCCACCTCTGCAGCGACGAGTCAAACTGTCAGCTGGGAATCAGATTAATTATGAAACAATAAAGAAATAAAAACACAGAAGACAGAGGTCAGCAGGTCAGCAGGTCGCGTTCAGGTTTCTGTTTTGTGTGTAATAAGCCGAAACATTTCAGTAAAGCTCTTCTTGGTTCTTTTTGTTCTCCTTACAGGTTGATATGAATCTCTTCACAACAAAACCACCATCACCATCCCGCCTCGAGCTCCTGACGGTCAGCGTGGGCTTTGTGGTCACACAGGTTTGTTTCTTGAGTCTGAGCTTTGATTAGCTTGAAGCTCACAGGTTGACGAATGAAAGCTCAGGAAGGGAACTTTGTTCTCCACTTTTAACCAACCAGTTTTTAACTGGCAACATATGGGCGCTTGGTCAGACCCCTTTGGCGTCACTTTTTGAAATCCTTTACTGTCGTTTCTGTACATGTATGGCTCCGTGGTCAACTTAGCAGGTATAAAAATGCAATGTCCGGTTAGACTTTCAAAATAAAACCGGCAGTTAACGTTTGGTTAGGTTTAGGAAAAGATCACGGTTTGGGTTAAGTACGGTACAAAGTTAGTAAGTTTCGTTACATCACGAAAAGGAATCAATGTTGACTTTTTGTTTCACACAGGAAACGAACAACTGTCTCCTGTAGCCTGATTGGCTGAATACAGAAGGAGCTCCAGGTGTGACGCTGTACACCTGGGGCGAGTTCAATCTCAAAATGTTTTGCAGCGTTTTCAGATTGAACAACATGTTTCCTTGCAACGTTGCGCAACGTTCTGCAACGGGCTTCGAGGTGCGTTTGCTACGTTTTGTCGGCGCTGAACTCGCCCCTGCAGAAACTCTCTGGATCTTTTACCTGACGCATTAACACTAGGGGTGTGACGATTAAATTATGACGATATTTCTCATCAGGTGAAAATCTGTCTCACCAGACTCTACCAACTGACATTTTTCATATGCCGTCAAGCCACACTTTAAATTTCTCACGCAGTGAAATACAAATGTAGTTATAACTGGTGAGACAGACTCATGCCTCATACTCAGGCGTACGCCCTGATAGTAATCAACTGAAGCGCACCAGCCACGCCGTGAGTCCAGTGAGTGGTAACGTAGCTACTCTGGAGCGGACGCGCACACGGACAGCTGCAGAAAGTTTATGGCTTAACGTTACTACCAGCGGATTAATAACGCAGAGTAAAGGGCAGGCAGACTTCTCATTAACCGATGCCGTTAGTCTGGTAATACTCGTTTCTCTGGACCTGTCAGAGGGAGAGATTCTGAGCAGAAAAGCTGCTGAAACACAGGAGCTACCAAAGTCCAGGAGTTTCTAACTGAATAAAAATTAAATCATTTCTCACGGAGGTGAAAAGGAGCCACATGCACATTTAAAGAGGTTACTTCCCCAACGTGGGCGGGGCTAGACTCTCAGCACAGTGGGGGCAGGGCTTCATCACGGGGCCCACCTGCTACAAAGTCATTTAAACCGAGTTTAAATGACTTTGTAGCAGGTGCGTCAAGCGGCACAGAGCAGATGAACTGGGCCGGAAGTCAGACACAGAATCCGGTCAATTTTTCAAAATAAAACACGGTACAGACTTCTGATCGTTTATCAACAATAAACACAACAACAATTTAACTACGTAGCCTATTTAATCATAGTAGAAGCACAAAAAGAAAGCGTTAATCACCAACTCAACAAAATCTAAACGTGTCGGCAAAATCCGGCAGGCTAAACGCTCCGTCCCTCAGAATTCCCATGATGCACGAGGGGGAAGGGATTTTTGTTAAAATGTGCAAATAAGTTCGCCATTTGTTTGAAATAGAAATGTTACTTTATGATTTATGTTTATTAAAACGTGTCTCTTTAGAATCTGCTGTGTTTGTTGGTAATTGTCCTTCTTGTGGTGGTTTAAAGTTGAAACCGGGACTGAAGAGACTGTTTCATTTGATAAGAGCTGCTGAATTTTGCCGGCACAGCAGAGCTAAACTGTACGGGGCCCCTACCAGCCAGGGCCCTGGGGCGGCCACACCCACGCACCCTCCGCTTATGTTCCCCCGAACAAAGACACAAAGAGGAGGGAAGACTAAATCATGACTCAGCAGGGATGACGTTAAATGAGTTGATCTACAGGAGAAACAGATCTGTTATGGTCACCTGAAGTTTGCGTTTCTCTTTATACAAATAAAAAGAAAAATTCATCGGATTGTAGAAATAACGTGTTTAATGCTCACATTTTTTATATAACTCAGCATTAAAGATTTCTTAAAAATAGTGTCAGGATCTTGTGAACCCAATCTCAAATTTTGTCTCGTCACACCCCTAATTAACAGAATTATCATTAGTAGTGGGACTAGTATACAAGGTATTAGTACCTGTGTTTAGTGCTGGCGGTCCTCCAGGTGTGACGCTGTACACCTGCAGAAACTCTCTGGGTCGACTTCCACCGACGATGTTGAAGCCGAAACCTCGAGGACCTTTAGACAGCCGGGTGTGGATGGAGTAACCCTTCAAGAGACTGGGCTGCTCGGTGAACTCTGGGACTGAGACAGAGACGAGGTCAGTGAGACCACAGGTGAGGACAGGTGTGGTGAGGACAGGTGTGGTGAGGACAGGTGAGTACAATGTGTATTCAGTGTTTCTCTTCCATAAATTAGTAGTAGTTGTTGTTGTTGTTGTTGTTGAAAGTCAGATTTGAAGCAGAACGGTCCAAATCAGTCCTGCATTCAAAATCCTGAAGAATCAGCTTCATCTACTTAAAGTATCAAAAGTAAAAGTACTTGTTCTGCAGTAAAATGTCGCAGAATCCGAAATAGTTTATAGTCCGAATAATATATAGTTTCTTAATGTGTCACTAAGTCACTAAAGCGGTTAAATCACTGTGGTGCAGTAAAAGTATAAAGGAGCATAAAAGAAAAAAGCTCAAGTAAAGTACAAGTACCGGTAAAAGTACAGTAGTGGATTAAATGTACTTTCCACCACTCCTGAGAACAAACACACAAACTGAAGGTTTTACTGAAGCTGAAATAAATATAAACAATAATAAAATATCTTATATGGAATGTTTAAGTTGATGGCTGATGTCATTCAAGTCAGAAACCCGAGAAGAAGACGAGCAGAAGAGAGCAGAGCTAACAGGATGTTAAAGTGAGTCTGTGCTGCCCCCTGCTGGCTTTCAAAATAAAGGTCCCAGAACAGGAAGTCAGTTTCTCTGTTACAAACTAAAGGTGGAGGGTTGGATGTTTCAACAACACCAAAAACTTTACATAAAAGAAAATAAGAAATAAGACTTGTAATTATTAAAATGTGAATAAATAAATATGTATTAATTAATTTGACTTAAAATAATATGTTAAAAAAAATACTAAATACTTCAAGTCCATCCAGTGATGTTGATTTTAACACGTTAAATAAACAAATCACTTTCTTCTGTTTGAGGATGTCCTGCAGCTTTCAGTCAGCGTTCCCTCAATCAATCAATCAATCAATCAATCAATCAATCAATCAATCAATCAGACAGACAAACAGGCTTACGTTCTGTACAGGAAGTCGTCTCTTTGTTCTGAGTTCGCGGATCCAGCCAGCTGGTCGTCTTTGATTTATGACTGACAGAGAGACGACATCATCATCATCATCATCATCATCATCATCATCATCATCATCTTTCTTTATAGACCCATGGTCAGATTGAATCCTGGGTAATGTAGGAACAGTGGACCTCATCAGAACTTGACTGTGAGTTAAAATTCAGCGTTTTCTCTGCCTGCTTTGGCTGCTGTTGAAAAATCTTTCCTTTAATAAATCCAGGAAGCGCTCGGTGTCATTAGTTATTTTATTTACAGTCTATAGTTATTAGTCACTGAAGTTTAAACATTTCTATGTGCCAGACTCCAGTGAAAAAACACTATATTTTAGGCTTTGACGTCATTAAAGTGTCCGCATGTCCCCTAAATATATTTTTCCAGCAGTTAGAATCAAACTGTCCACTTCAGCTGAAACATGAAATAAAAATCTGATTTATCAGATGTGTGTTATCATGTTAGCATGTTTTTTAATTCATCGATCGTCATCAGGATTATTTCTTACTCAATGTAGTACGGCTCTCCTGAATCACTGAACGCCAGCTCCCAGTTTTCAGGCAGCGGACCTCCTCTTCCTCTTCCTCTCCCTACTCCTCTTCCTCCTCCTCCGTTTTCTGTTCCCTCCCGACTCCCCACCGCCGTCTCCCACGATTTGCTGAGAGGCAAGGTGGTGGGCGGGGCTCCAGCTGAACCCGCTAACGGAGAGAGAGAGTTTGTTATTAACACTCACACTCAGATGGAGGTAAACGGCTGCACGACCAACTAAATATAGAAACCTGGACAAATCTTCAGTTTCATCACACACACTTCACCGTTTCTGCACCCTTGTAACGGTGTGCTATCTCCCTCGAAAAAGAGGTTTTTGTCTCAAATGACTTCCTGGTTACATTAATGTTAAATAAAACAAAACCACCCACAGACTCTCTGTAGCCGATCCAGACTGTGGACCTTTTCCCAGACAGAAGATCAATCGGCTCCATAATATTCCACAAACACGTTTTAATGTTCCAAAAATGTCCCAAAATATCTGGACTTTCATTATAAATGTCCTGACTTTATAACATTTTCTTCCCATTTGAAAAGTGTTTTTAAAAACGTTCTTTACGTTCCAAGAGGTCCTCAGTTTCTCAATGTCTTTTCCAAATGTCCCCTGGTCTCAAAAATATCCTCAAGTCAAGGTTTTTATCGTTAACAAAAACTAGGTGTGAAAAAACCTTTTCGTTAACAGAAATAAAAATAAAAATGAGCCTTTATAAAAACAGACTATAACTAACTGAAGCTGTGTTGTCTGTAAAACGAACTGAAATAAGCTAAAATTACAGAGTAAAGGTCTTTAGTTTATTTATTTGTCAGTTTATTTCAGAAAGCTGACAGAAGCCTGGTATTTTGGGTGAATGTGAAATCTTTGTGTTTCTCACCCGACAGGCCGCTATCCTCCTCGCTGTTGTCTCCTTCCTCCACAGCTTTCTCCAGGTTACTCAGAGATTTGCTTCTCGTCCTGAAGTTCCTCAGCAGGTTTCGATGTTCCTGATACGTGATTGGTGGGCTCTCCGGACCGATGTGGACCGGACGGGGCGTCCCGTAGTAGTTCCCTGTGATCGGATGGAGAAAATAAAAATAAATAAGTATTTTTAATTGAAATATTAAGCAGCAGAACACAGTCTGTTGTCTTTCTCCAACATTACAGTTACTGGTACAAATAAAAAAAACCTAAACTTTATCTGCAAACAACGAAGTAAAACAGGTCAAATAAAACCAGAGAGAAGATGAAGAATGGAAAATAAAAGGAAATAAAAAACAAATTATTCATCTCCTTTTCCCTGCTGTTCAATGTTTCATATATCTGTTAATATAGTTTTATATCGCCAGCTGGAGTTAATGTCATTACATACACACACATTTATAAACGGCAGCTGGAGATGTATAATAGAGATCAATAATCAAACGGCAGGGCAAAAGCAGACTTTCCATAAAACCAGAAGAAACCATGAAAGAAAGGTTTCAACAGGAGATGAACTGGCAAAGTAAAAGGTTTGGGATCATCAGTCAGACACATTTAAAAGGAGTTTGGCAACGTCACTTTGTTTAGTGCGAACAGAGAAATATTTATGTGTGAATTCAGTTTCTATTTTAGTCTCATTAATCCCATCAGATTAATACTGCAGAGAGAGAGCGAGAGACATAGAGTGGGTTACAGAGAGAGAGAGAGATGTAGGACAGAGTGAGGCAGGTTTGCCGTTTGAAGGATTACAGACTGAAAATCCTCTTTTCCTCTCAAACACTGTTAAAAAACTCAACGTCAATCATTTACTCCACACTGCAAAGGACTGCAGCGACAAATACTAATGCACACTGTAACAAAGGTGCTAACAGCACAATGTGAAAAAGAATGTCTTACTTTTACTTGTATTGTCATAGTGTGGCGTTGTATTGTAGCGTTGTGTTGTTGTAGTGTTGGCGTAGTGTAGTGTTGTGTAGTGTTGGCGTAGTGTTGTAGTGTAGTGTTGTTGTAGTGTTAGCGTAGTGTTATGTTGTATAGTGTTGGCGTAGTGTTGTAGTGTTGTGTTGTTGGTGTACTGTTATGTTGTGTAGTGTTGGCGTAGTGTTGTGTTGTTGTAGTGTTGGCGTAGTGTTGTAGTGTTGTGTTGTTGGTGTACTGTTATGTTGTGTATTGTTATGTTGTATATGTTGTGTACTGTTATGTTGTGTAGTGTTGTGTTGTTGTAGTGTTGGCGTAGTGTTGTGTTGTTGTAGTGTTGGCGTAGTGTTGTAGTGTTGTGTTGTTAGTGTAGTGTTGTAGTGTTGTGTTGTTGGCGTAGTGTTGTAGTGTTGTGTTGTTGGTGTACTGTTATGTTGTGTGTTGTTGGTGTAGTGTTGTAGTGTTGTGTTGTTGGTGTACTGTTATGTTGTGTGTTGTTGGTGTACTGTTATGTTGTGTAGTGTTGTGTTGTTGGCGTAGTGTTGTAGTGTTGTGTTGTTGGTGTACTGTTATGTTGTGTGTTGTTGGTGTACTGTTATGTTGTGTAGTGTTGTGTTGTTGGTGTAGTGTTGTTGGTGTTGTGTTGTTGGTGTACTGTTATGTTGTGTAGTGTTGTAGTGTTGTGTTGTTGGTGTACTGTTATGTTGTGTATTGTTGGTGTAGTGTTGTAGTGTTGTGTTGTTGGTGTAGTGTTATGTTGTGTAGTGTTGTAGTGTTGTGTTGTTGGTGTTGTGTTGTTGGTGTACTGTTATGTTGTGTAGTGTTGTAGTGTTGTGTTGTTGGTGTACTGTTATGTTGTGTATTGTTGGTGTAGTGTTGTAGTGTTGTGTTGTTGGTGTAGTGTTGTAGTGTTGTGTTGTTGGTGTACTGTTATGTTGTGTAGTGTTGTGTTGTTGGTGTAGTGTTGTTGGTGTTGTGTTGTTGGTGTACTGTTATGTTGTGTAGTGTTGTAGTGTTGTGTTGTTGGTGTACTGTTATGTTGTGTATTGTTGGTGTAGTGTTGTAGTGTTGTAGTGTTGGCGTAGTGTTGTAGTGTTGTGTTGTTGGTGTAGTGTTGTAGTGTTGTGTTGTTGGTGTACTGTTATGTTGTGTATTGTTATGTTGTATATGTTGTGTACTGTTATGTTGTGTAGTGTTGTGTTGTTGTAGTGTTGGCGTAGTGTTGTGTTGTTGTAGTGTTGGCGTAGTGTTGTAGTGTTGTGTTGTTAGTGTAGTGTTGTAGTGTTGTGTTGTTGGCGTAGTGTTGTAGTGTTGTGTTGTTGGTGTACTGTTATGTTGTGTGTTGTTGGTGTAGTGTTGTAGTGTTGTGTTGTTGGTGTACTGTTATGTTGTGTAGTGTTGTGTTGTTGGTGT